TGATCATTAGACATATGCACATCAAATTATCAGATATTTTGAACATGAGTACTAATTTTGTTACATTTTTTTGGGATCCGTACCAAGTTTTTAATTTTTAAAGTTCATTTATTCGGTTCAAACAAATTTCAAAATTTTTACAACATACTTTGAATATTAATTTTAAATTTACAATTGAGTTTATATGTATTTCATATGCGTTACTGTAATCGTAAGAAAGATATCCTCAAACGGATTCATTTCGCATCTCTTCTTAATATAAACATTTTCAAGCGTTTTGAGCAATAAGATCGTCACAGTATATTATATGAACAAATAGATATGCATGTATAGTAATTATATTTTTTTCTTTGAAAATATTTAAAATTTATTTATTTTATTTAAAAAAATATAGTTAATAAATATTAATTAATATTTATTGTTTATTTCGCTTTTTTGGCTCGAATATTTAATTCTGGTACGGGAAGTTCCAGCAATTTGCCTCAAGGTACGTTGCCATTAACCAATAGTGGATTTTTCTTTTCAAAGCATTCGCGTAACAAAATATCGAAGCATATAAGCACCGGGTCGCAGTCTAACGGTTAAACGTTATAAATCTTGGTACGGAACTTTTAAAAATATAAACAAAATTTCTACTTAATATTAAAATCTCTATAAAAATTTTTGATAATTTGAGGTGCATATGCAATTTGATATGATCAAATGGGAATGGAATTTTTCAAAACTTGCTTCTCGGTATCTCTGAAACCGCAGGACCTGCCTTCCCAAAAATTTAGTCAATTCTTCAGTTCAATACAAGTAAAATGTTTTTCTTTTATTCAAGTTGGTCTCTTCATTCTCTCAAAAACTGAATTGCCATTTTTGCCCTGTATTTTCGAAACGACCGGACCTGCTTCAGTCTTAAACTAATCAGCACTTCTCCTTATCGGTAGGAATTAAATGTTCTGTGAATTATTCGAATTGGTTGATCTGTGAAAACATCGGCAAAGAAAAATTTATTCACTCATACATACATACTACACATATATATGAACACACACACATACATCCATTTTTTCTAAGGTATGCAAACTTGTTCAGAAATTTTTGAAACGTAAAGATTTGCAAAAATTTTCATTTTTTTTGCGATTTTTTACCCTAGGGAAGTAAAAAAGTTTATACACCGTAATCAAAGATATTATTTTTTACTACGAACAATAATACTCGGGGATTCCAATATATATGTGCTAGGGCATCGAGAGAACATTGAAAATCATCCTTACTACCTCATGCAAAAATTTAGTTAATTATTTATTCATTAAAGTGATTAATGTATTTTCTATTTTATGAAGAGCAACCCGAACTATTTTGTTAATCACAGTTGCGCTTTTTTTCATTGAATCAAATATGTTTGAAAAGGATACGTGGCAAAGCACGTTAAGCATATTAAGCAAAAAATAGTACGTATAAAACATAGTGGCAACAGTTAAAATTCAATTTAAATTCTCTTAGTAAAATTGTGAATATATTTTAAAATTTTAAATACTCTCGAAAAATATCATTTAAAATTGCATTAATCAATTTTGTTTTTTTTGTCAGTTGAATTGTTCTTTCTTAATTCATTGTGAATTTCGTTTTTGTCTAATTCTGAAGTTTCGGAATTTTGAAACCTATTCATTAAATAAGTGAATCCTTATTAATGATCAACTAGATTATTTAAGCAAATATACAATTTACATATAGTTAGTAGATATTTCATTTCTGAATAATAATTCATTGAGCATAATGATAACTATTCTTTTGCACTATATCATGAGATTTTATGAATCGATTGAATAGAACAAAGTCATTTGATTCATGATAAGAGTGAAGATCTGATTAGTTCTTGAAAAACATTGAACAAACTGCTTGTGATCTACAGGCTAAACAATTAAAATAGAAATTGGCGTATTTTTTAGAAATAAATTAATTTCATATGCAAATTTCTTTCTAATTTTAATTTATCTAATTTACTTTTTATATTTATTTTAAGCTATTTAGTAATATCACGTTTAAAAACACTTTCGGTTTTACCGCATATTTCAAAAATCTTCATATACATGGATTTAGCAGTGTGTTGATAGTCTTTTAATATCAAAAATATTGAAATCCTTTCATATTTAAAAATCCGAAATCCAATTTAAGTTTTTTAAATTATGTCTACAAGTTAGAAATTTTTAGCTATTTGATAATAAGCGTACATATTTTGATTATGATAATGATTTGATATGACTAGTTTTGTGGATTGATTCGGCGGTGTAAGTAATCCAATCTGCAATTTAATTTATAAGACTTAGCATGGAAAAATCACTCCCATTCGTAATAAAATGCAAATATTTAATTAATTATTCTCACGTGTTGTGATATTGCGTGTTCATAGATCCAATTATGAGTCAGAAGGTTAGATATCAATAATAATAAGGCTTCAAAAACATCTCGGTACATATACGAAATGTCGAATTAAATATATATATATATATATATATATATATATATATATTGAATGGTAGAGTCTTGGATTTGTGTATATTTTGTAGAGTTTCGAACAAGAATCCAAAAATAATACAAAATAAAAAACAAGAAAAGTTTTTAAAAAAACAATTTCTTTATTTAATTATTTGTTTATTGTCGACGTTTCGGAACTAGGTACGTTCCATCTTCAGGACATCTGTTAAGAAACATGATCTTGATGAGATTTTAGCAAACAATATGTTTAGGAAAAGAAAATAGATTTTTCTTAAATAATGAATTAAATTGTAAAAAATATAATAATGTACAGAAATATGATAATATGTTCAAAATAAAAATGATAAAAATAAATGAGTGGATTATAAGAAAAGGATATTAAAAATAATAAAAATTTTTTTTTTTTTTTTTTTGAAAGTTATGGAAATTTTTTAAGAAAAGGTTAATGACAAAGTTGAATTAATTACCTGTATGTTTGAATATTTGTTAGCACTTTTTCACTAAACAAGCTTTTTAACAAAATGATTTTGTGAGTTAATTTTCCGCCGAATAATTAGATTTTGTAAATCAAAATTACTAAAAAATTTGTCTTTTTTTAAAATTATTATTTGAAAACACAAATAATATTGTTCTCTGGATGTTGTTCGATTGGCTTTCGAAAATTAACTAAATGAAACTGGTGTGCCCTTTGTAACACGTGTAAACACTTGAACGAGAGATGTGAGATTGTATGTGTGTGTTTTTATATGTCAGGGTGTGAATACTTAAATTGTTGATCTTAAAAGGACCTTTTCGGCGGAAAATTAACTCACAAAATCATTTTTTGTTAAAAAAGCTTGTTTAGTGAAAAAGTGCTAACAAATATTCAAACATACAGGTAATTAATTCAACTTTGTCATTAACCTTTTCTTAAAAAATTTCCATAACTTTCAAAAAAAAAAAAAAAAAAAAAAAAAATTCTATTATGTTTAATATCCTGTTCTGATAATCCACTCATTTATTTTTATCATTTTTATTTTGAACATATTATCATATTTCTGTACATTATTATATTTTTTACAATTTAATTCATTATTTAAGAAAAATCTATTTTCTTTTCCTAAACATATTGTTTGCTAAAATCTCATCAAGATCATGTTTCTTAACAGATGTCCTGAAGATGGAACGTACCTAGTTCCGAAACGTCGACAATAAACAAATAATTAAATAAAGAAATTGTTTTTTTAAAAACTTTTCTTGTTTTTTATTTTGTATTATTTTTGGATTCTTGTTCGAAACTCTACAAAATATATATATATATATATATATATATACATATATATATATATATATATATATATATAAATATATATATATATATATATATATATATATATATATCATTTTCCAGTTATGCGACTGTATTGAAGATATTTATTCATTGTCGATTTCATTTTGAACTACTCTGATTGAGAACTCATATTAATTAAATATCCTACGATAGAAATACATACATCATACTCATTTCTTATTAAGTAATTAGTTAATTTTATGTTTTCTCGGCGTTTCAAATCATTCTAAATCCAATGAGACCAAATTTGGAAAAAGAATGTGTGTGTATGAAACGATTTTTAAATTTTATTAAATTTTGAAAATTTAATGATATCATTTGGAAATCGTGTTGATTACTTTTTAATAAAGATAGGCCTGCCCGTTTCTTAGTAATTCTTATTTAAAAAAACGCCGATTTTAAGAATATTTATATGGTCTTATTGAACATACTAAAATATCATCGTCGGTACGGAAGTTCCAGCAATTTGCCTTGAGACACGATGCCATACACCCCACTAGTTAAAAACGATCACATGAAAATAGATTATAATCTAATTATAATCAATCAATTCTAACAATGAAACATATACTAACATGATATTTATTTTTGCTCAGAAATTTCAATTTATAAAAATAAAATAATATGTATTTAATGTAGTAATTTTTATTAAATTTCCTAAAGTAAATATAAGTATATAGTCACGTGTATTTCAAACACTCAACACATTTAACAAACGACAAAGATAAACTATGAAATCAACATCCATTGACGAATTAAAACATTTGAAACGAATTAAAATATTTGAAAATAATTCAAGGCTTTTTTCAAGTTGTTTATACTAAAAATTTTAGCTTTTTAGGATTTATACATGCCTTCCTTCAATAACACATAGCAAGTATTAAATTCCTTGCAAAATGGTTATTGTCTAAAAATTAATTATACAATAAAATCTTGAATAATTATATTAATGAAACATTGCAAATAATATTAAATATTATGCAATAAAAGCTTGAAGATCATACAATGGCTTGGGTTATACAATAAACTATTGTTAGTTTTTAATATGTCTAATGTGCAAAATTTAAAGTTTTTATGATGTAAGATAGTACATAATATATATTTATATACATACATATATATATATATATATATATATATAATAGTTCTTTATGAAATTCTTAACGATTATTAATCATTTTTGCAGGATCTTTGTCAATCGCAGTCTGCATTTAGAAAATATAAAGTTTTATGGATTTGATATGGATTATACTTTGGCAGGTAAATATTTTTTCATATTTTTCAATTGTGTTGCCCTTTTCTTTCCATTTCGAATTTCTTTGCTCCCAGGGGCTCAAATGCTTACAAATTGATAAAAAAAATCTGAAGTTTTAGCTCCTAATATTAACTTTAAGATAGTCCGCACTCCAACCATAGTTGTAAAACTGTTTTGAAAATTGGAAAATGCGTTGGCATAGTTGCATTGTATCCTTGAGGGATTATTTTGAGAGGGATAAATTAGAATCAGAAGAATAGATAAAGATTTCAAAAGTTTTAATTAAAGTCTTAAATTAAAGTTTTAGTTATAGTCTTATTAAATATCATTGCACTACACTTCTTTTCGCAACCATTTAAATCAATATGAGGAATTCAAAATCTCCTTAAAAATATCAGTTGAGAATTTAAAATATTAGGAAAATCTTATTTTTTTAAGAATTTTTCTTTCATTATTATTTTATTATTTCAACATATTGCTAACATTTTACAACTTGCCTTAAGGCAAAAGCTACATATATGTTGTTAATGCCTAATATTGATACTACTAAAATATACCAATTATACAACAATACTCATTTCGTGATTTTTAAAATATTCTGATATTAGCCGTAATGCTTTAGTGAGTGATGACAAAATATGATAAAATGTGTTCATTTTAAAAATATTTGTCTTTAATCGAGATAAAACAGCTCTTGCATTTTCATCTGCACACAATTATTAAATTCAACTTGACAAACTTATATTTAATTCAATTCAATTCAATCCAAACTTATATTTTATTCAATTCAATTTAATTACCTGGTTTAATCATAACTGTACTTAATTGCATAACGCTAATTGATACCAATCATTTCATTTCACTGAATGGCGGTCTCGTAAATATTATACATATAGATCAATATATTTATATTTTTGCAGAATATAAATCGCCGCAATATGAATGTCTTGGATTCAACCTGATTAAGGAACGCATGGTTAGCCTTGGCTATCCACAAGAAATAACCGAATTTGAATATGATCCATCATTTCCTGTTAGGTAAGATTAGTAAGGTTAACTTAATATAATAATAATTGTTAGGTTGATTAAAGATTTTCAAGCATAATATAATATAACGCTACTTTTGTCATGTTTAGTACATTTCGTGCAATTTTAGAACTTTCACGAATTATACCAGTAATTAACTTCCCGTAGGGTATTAACTTCCCGTAGGGTATTAACTTCCCGTAGGGTAAGTTATAGTAATCGCAAAAAAATCGAAAATGAAAATTTTTATATATCTTTACGTTTCAGAGGTTTTTGAACATTTTGGCATACCTTAGAAAAAATGGATGTATGTGTGTGTGTGTGTGTATGTATGTATGTGTGTGTATGTATGTGCGGATACAAATTTTCGTCGACGATTTCGGGAACACGGATCAACCGATTTGAATAATTCAAAAAACATTCGATTTGTACTGATAAGGAGACGTGCTGATTAGTTTTTGGCAAAGTTAGGTCTAGCCGTTCCGAAGATACGGGGCAAAAAGTGCCGAAAACGGTAACTCAGTTTTTAAGAGAACGGAGCGTCCGATTTGAATAATTCAAAAAACATTTTACTTGTATTGGCAAGATGAAGAGTTGATCAAATTTTCATGAAGGCAGGTCTAGCGGTTTCGGAAATCTAATAAAAAAAGTAAAAAAAAAATGCCATTCGGCGGTTAAAAATGATGATTAGACATATGCACATCAATTTATCAGATATTGTATAGAAATTTTAACAATAAGTATAATTTTTTTTTACATTTCTATGGGTTCCGTACCAATGTTTATGCGTTAGACGGCGGCGCGGCACTTGCGCTGTGACAATTCGTCTCTATGCAGTTCAAGCAGTACGATTGCTTTGAAAAAAAGTTTCGAATTTCCAAAATATGTCAAAATGAAGAAAACATTTTTCTTTTCAAAAAAATAGTTTGTTTTCAAAAAAAAAATTTATCTTTCAAAAAAAAAATTTTTTTTTTCAAATAAAAATTTTTTTTTCAAAAAAAGTAATTTTTTGTCATATTCCTAGTTTCTCAAAAATCTAATTATTTCGAAGTAAATTTTTTTCAAAAATGTTAATCGTTTTTAAAAAAATAATAATTTTTGGTACGGGAAGTTCCAGCAATTTGCCTTAAGGCACGATGCCCTAATTGCCTTAAGACAGAATTCCACTTACAGCTAGTTTTGCCTAAAATCGTATGTTGTCTTTTCAGAGGATTGTGGTTCGACACATTGTATGGTAATCTTTTAAAAGTGGATGCCTATGGTAATATTCTAGTATGTGTTCACGGATTTGAATTTTTAAAACCGTAAGTTTTTAAAATCTTATGAAAAATTTTTTTCAACGATATGTTCTAAATTTCTAAACTTTTAGGTCCCAAGTATATGAACTCTACCCGAATAAATTTTTACAATTAGATGAATCACGAGTATACGTATTGAACACATTATTCAATCTTCCAGAAACATATTTGCTAGCATGCCTAATTGACTATTTCACGAATTCTAAGCAATATACGAGGTAAGTTTTTATAAATAAAACATTTCATATCTATTATATTCATCCTGGTCCAGCTTCTTCACCTTTCCTTTTGCTATATAAGGATTTCTAATTACTTTCTCCAACTTTGCTTTGCCAGTTGTTGCCGTTTTCCAACGTTTCCAGAAATAAACTTTGTACTTTCTTCCAATTTGTTCTGCAACCCTTTCTTTATCTTTCATTTCGCTGAATTTAGACTACATCTCTCTATTTTCTTCAGCCTTATTGATCTTCAAGTATACTTAATTTTACATCTGCTTTCTGTTTCTCGTGTTATGAATGAAACCTTAAATTTCGACTGTATATATCGGTAACTGGAAAAGTCTTAACATCATTGACTAATAAAAATTCACTGTAGCGTATAGAAGAAGGTATCCTTATAGTTTTGAGCAAGTCTAGGAAGTCACTGTTTTCGTAAAGATCAGTTATTTAGTTGTGATCAGTCTGCAGGATCAGTGGCATCGGAAGCAAATTTTTGATGGGTGGGCTCGTTTTTTTTTTTTGATAGACAGGCAGTGGGTTCGTTTTTTTTTAGCCATTTCAGGCCCTATCTTTTTTTGCGATTCATGGGTGGGCTCAAGCCCACACAGCACACACGGTTCCGTTATTAATCACCACATATAATTAATAAACTACCCAGAAAAACTTGAATCGCCTTTCCTGGTTCTGCAGGAAATCAAATCACAGTAAATGTTCGAAAGTACAAGTTTGTTGAACGCTAGGTATCAACTAAAGCATTCGTTAAATTTTAGCATGTGATCAAATCTTGGACTGGTCTATTTTCCTACAATAGTGCTCAATCGCAAATGTCTTTCTATTAGTAATCAATAATATTGAGGTATAGTTGTAAAAAGTTGAGGTACCGCAAGTATACGGGTTCTGAGGTTGATATTTTTGACAACTGCATTCAATTTAGTTTTTCTTAGAAATTATTTTAAATGTATACCTCTTAGTTTCAGAATATTTCGCAATTTTTCAAATTAATTTGATTTTATGTCAATATCTTTTAAAATTATAAAGTTTTTGCTTCGCTCTATATAGAAGTTGATATCGTGTACTTGTGAAATTGTTTGAATCATTTTAGAATTCTACTAGTACTTGGTATGTTTTGATATAGCTAGTTTGAGAGTCTGAATTGATGACATTGGATCTAAAGCTTTTAGAACTGCTTCATTAATTACTCTTTTTTGTTTGTTTACTTGTCCTTAAAGAATTTGGAGATATTTTATGTCAATTTGTTCATTCATTAGTCGTGTTTAATCATCATCTTCTCCAAACATCTACTCATGTAAGAAATTTCTCTCCCACTACTTACAAATGCGCATTATTTAGTTAATCGTTTTATTTTCTTTTAACGTATCGTATGGCAAACTTTTGATGATATGTATTATATCAACTTTATATTTGTATTTTATTCATTGGGTTTCATTAATCATAAAATAATATCTAATTTTAGAGAATCTACCGGTGTAAGAGCTGGTAATTTATTCATGTCGTTCAAGTCTATATTCCAAGATGTACGCGGAGCGGTGGACTGGGTGCACATTCAAGGAGATTTGAAACGCAGGACGGTCGAAAATTTAGATCAATATGTGAAAAAAGACATTCGATTACCAATGGTTTTGAGCAGGATACGAGAAAGTGGAGCTAAAGTTTTCTTATTGACAAATAGTGACTACAACTTTACGGATAGAATAATGACACATCTATTTGATTTTTCTCATGGAGCACGAGTAAGTATTTTTACATATTGTGGAATATCTTCTATATTTATATATAAAAGTAAGTCGGGTTTTCCTTCCTGACGATATAACTCCAGAACCCACAAACCGATTTCGACAATTTTGCATTCGTTGGAAAGGTCTCGGGCTCCGCAAGGTTTATAGCTAAGAAAATTAGTTGTGCATGGCATCGTGCCTTAATGCAAGACGCTGGAACTTCACGCACCTTAATTAAAAATTCGAGTAATGACATTAGTGAGAATTATCAGAATTATGCTTGGTTAAGTCAACGAGCAATTCTTGCCGCAAAGAATAATGATGTACACGCACTGAATTTCACCATTCAATCAAAAATTGCTGGCGATTTGGTGACATACCAATGATTTCGACTGGTCTTCCGTTTGACTTCAAACGATTGCAATTTCAGGTTCGCCTTGCGTTCGCAATAACAAGTCGCAAGGCCAATCGCTTAGTGTTTGCGGGATAAATTTCAAATAGATTATTTAGAAAATCATTATTTTTCACATGGGCAGTTATACGTTGCCTGTTCATGAGTTGGAAAACCATCCGCTTTGTTTGTGTTAACGTCAGACCAAAAAACAAAAAATGTGGTTTATCAAAGAGCACTTCAATGAAACGGATGATTTGCGGATTCACTTTCATTTACTTAGATAAGTTCAACTAAAAAACACTTCATTTTTGTAATCGAAATAAATTCATTACTGTTGTATAATAAAATCAACAGAATTTTAGCGCAGAAACAGACATTCTTGCTTAATTAAAAATGTACATATGCCTGTGCCTAATTGAAAACAAAGTATAATTATTTAGCTAGTAATTATAGAAGCATAAGATGAATAATATCGCATATCGTTAGCTTAAACTATATAATTTTGTAACTTAATAATATTGATATTACAGCCAGACGATCCTCATCGAGACTGGAAAACTTACTTTGACGTAATAGTGGTAGATGCACACAAACCTCTTTTCTTTGGTGAAGGTACAATTTTGCGTCAGGTTGACACTCGAACAGGATCGTTAAAAGTGGGCACGCATATGGGACCATTACAACCTGGTCAAGTCTATAGTGGCGGTAAGTACTACTTTATCTCATTCTTATAAGAATGATGTGAAATAATGAAATAGTTCGGAATTGATTTGCAAAGTTGAAATTATATACTTTAACTATATAAGAAAACTTTAGGATTTTTCAAAATTTTGAAACTTTTAGAATAACTTTCATATTTGTTTTCATATTTTTGAAATTCTAATAAAATCGGATATTTATTTTAAATTTTTTCTAAAATAATATTTTTGCTTTATTTTCCCCAACAACCAATCATTTCTTCACACCGTCAACTAAGGGAAGGGAATATGATTTTTGAATCATTTTAATCGAATGATCCATTCTCTCAAAAACTGCATATATTTTCTACAGTTTTGTTCCGTACCTCCGAAAGACCTACCTTTCGAAAAAACTAACTAGCACATTTCGCCGACAGTACGAACCGAATGTAATGAAAATCCAATCAATGTTTTATTCCGTCAATAACTTATATTTTGATGTGCATATGTTCAAGGACTATTTTTGACCATCAAATGGCATTTCTGTATCTCCGAAGCCGCTGGACTCGCCGTTGCAGAAATGTAGTCAGTTTTTCACTCCGTCAATACGAATCGATTGTTTTAATCATTCTTTCAATCGGGTGTCCCGTTCTTTCAAAAATTACCATCTTTGCACTTTTTGCTCATTATTTCAGAAACGGCTGGACTTGCCTTTGTTAAAAACTAATCCGCACGTCCCCCCATCATAAATAATAAAAAAATTAAATGTTTAAAATATTTAAATCAGATAAATCTAAAATTCAAATAATGGTGCTAAAGTTCAACTCCGTGCTTTAAGGCAAATTGCTGGAACTTTCCGTACCGAAAATTAAAATTTTCAAAAAAGCAACATTTTTTGAAAACTTTGAAAAAATTACATTTTTGAGAATTTAGAAGTTTTTTAAAAAAAGTGTTTCAAATCTAATTTTGATTTTTTTTGAAAATCTTGAATTCTTTTTAAAAACAAAGCAAACAACGCAACTGGCTGCGTAGCTCTTTTAGAGAAGAAATATGAAACCCATAGAAATGTGAAAAAAATGTTTACTTATTAAAATCTCTATAAAATATCTTATAATTCGATGTGAATATGTGTAATGATCTTTTTTGATCGACAGATGTCAATTTTTTATACCTCTTTATTGAATATCCCAAACATCTACACCCGCCTTCCAAAAATTTTACCAGTTTTTTATTTCGTCTTTTGGCTGAGGCTTTGGCTGGAACTAATCACGACGTCTCTCAATTATTCTTATTAAATTAATAAGTATAGGATAACATCGTTGGAAATAAATCTCATGCTCAAAATGCTAGGAATATATTAACCCTCCCTCCGTCGGTCGGAGATTTATTTTCCTTCGAACGGTCGGAGTAGTCTGGCCGGACCACCATTCATTTTACATGCATTTATATGAGATAAATGAGTTTTTGGTGTCTTATATAATAACGATTATTAGAAATAAATATTTATAGTTTTGATTTTTTCTTTTTCTTGCCGTCTTTTGCATGTGTTGAGCTTGCCTCTAATAAAAATCGTTGTTTTTTGTTAATTTTTCTATTTTATATCAATGAAAAACAATATTTATTCTTCTTCGGCGCCTTCGAAATGAATGTGAAATTCAAATGAAAACGAAATGAGGTGGTCGCCCTTGGAATGAGCTGTAAAACTCAAAGTGAAAATATAATTTCAATTGAACTGCATAATTACGGCTACAGGTTTGCAAGAAAAAAGTTTCGAACGCAGTACCGATAGAAAAATTGTTGATAATGTACGCATTATTCATATGATTTTCAATGTTTGCGATAACCAATAAGTTTGATAGGTTTTTAATGCATTTTTATATGTGTACGTGTAAAACCAACATTCATGTTACAACACATAGCAAATAATATATAAAACGCAGTTTGAATAGAAAATACCAGAAAAAAGACAAAAGTCTGATCAAAACGCGTCATATTTCATACAAAATGTATGGGTGGTCTAGACAGACCACTCCGATCGTTCGAAGTATAAAAAAGTTAATATTCTTATTTATTTTCAAATTGAAGTCGAAAAAAGTCTGGCCAGACCACTCCGACCGACGGAGGGTTAATAGTTTTTAGTCTATTTTAATCGTGTTTATTTAATATTATAGCAAATCTTTCATATTTGCAGGATCGAGTGATGTATTTACTGAACTTATAGGAGCTAAAGGTAAAGATGTTTTGTACATAGGCGATCATATCTTTGGCGATATTTTAAAATCAAAAAAGATTCGTGGTTGGAGAACATTTCTGGTCGTTCCTGAATTAGTTCACGAGCTACATGTTTGGACAGATAAATGCCAACTTTTTGAAGATCTTCAAAATCTAGATGTGATGCTCGGAGATGTCTACAAGTGAGTTTTAACATAGACTGGTTCTTATTTAATTACCTAATCTGTTTGAATAAAAAGAACGGGTATGGCATCAAATCAATCATCAATTATCAATTAAAACACTCAAAAATGCTATCAAAAACATATATGCTATTTTAAAAATATAAAATTTGTAGTTTTAGTAGTTATATCTGTTCCTGTATCGTGGTATAGAGAGATATTTACATCCTTTATATCGTTCAGGTATAGGTTGTTAAGTTTTCCAGAGTTTTTGTCTTTTATGTAGTGCATGTTATGAAGGCATAACTAAATTTTAATTAAAAATAATATAAAAAATCATAAGTAATTTCAAATAAATAGCTAAAAAATTTCTTTATCGAACTTGTTTATTGAAATAATACATTTCCATTTTTAGAGATTTGGATTCAAGTAATAAAGAAAAACCGGACATAAGCAAACTTCGTAATTCCATAAGAGACGTTACACATAAAATGGATTTAGCATATGGCATGATGGGCTCTCTGTTTAGGTCCGGTTCACGACAGACCTTCTTCTCATCTCAAGTAAGTGAAATAAATCAATTAATATTAATGTTATACTAATCAAGGAATAATATTTATCCACCCCAAAAAAATTGGCAACAATATAAGAATATGTATCTGTATTTATTAATATTACTCGGTTAATAATGACTATCAAAATCAATTTTCACTCATATTATTGTGTGATAATTATTGCTTTTAATTTATTTGACTTAGAAGCTTAAGATAATGGTAGGTTAACCATTTAATGTAATGTTTACGGTCGAATCGTTTACCTCAGTTCATTCGCGCAAAACTGGAAATTTGAATGAACTCAGTTCGTTCATAGGAATTTTTAAACTTATCGCAACTTGTTGGACGATCGGATCACCATATGGGATTCATAAAACTTTCAATTATATTTTACTATATATATTAATTTAAAACAATTGATAGTAACAAACTGTTAAACAGCTATGTTTGCAGTGCGATCAATCGTTTTGTCGGAACGTGTTATCAAAGAGACATCAGAAAGATGCACTTTTGGTGTCTTATTATAATCAAATTCTTATATGACTTGAAATTGTTTCGTACTTTATATGTGAAACGTCTGATCACATATTAAAAACATCACTTCTACGAGAGTATCCCGAGTAATTCTCCTGCTTAACATCACTTCTATACCACCTCATTATGCACTAAATCACAAGGCACACGAGGCTCGAAAACAGCCATACCCTTACATCATTTGTGTAACACAGTGATTCCCAAAGTGTGAAGTTAAATGTTTAAACGAGTATGTGCAAGAAATGGTGCGAATTGAAACAGTACCATAATTACATCAGAATTTTCTGAAAACGATGGTTCACACTTTCTTTGTGAGTCAATAATTTGTGTAACTTTTCAACGCGTGTAACTTTACCAGGGATTCTGTGACGGATATATTATTATTACTTGCCTTGCTATTAATTATATTTCTTTGATATCTACCCGAGTACCGAATTTTGTAAAATAACCGTGAATAATCGTGATCTAGAATAATTCTTTCGTTACGTAAAGTTTTAAAAAACTTATCAACACCTATCAACATATCTACTTCGCGCGGGATATTGAAGTGTGGATCCGAAAATCTTAATCCATTAGGAAGATTTAGTTCAGAAATTTGGATAAGCCGCGCGGGTCAGCTCGATATTTTCTTAAGCACAAAGGCATTCATATTTTTCACAAATGTACCATCTTCATTAAATATTTCTAAATTTGTAAAATTATTCAATTTCGTTGAAATTTCATCAACGCGATTTTTGCAATAGCGATTTTGATTTCAAAGATATATTATACAAATTAACAAACTTGATTGGATTTTCGATCCTTTTTTAAGTGCAATTACAGAAGGTTCTTCACAGCTACAAAAAGAATTGATAGAGATAATAACAAATAATGAATTGAAATTGAAATTTAAATTCTAAAATTGCAATTCTAGCTGCAAAAAGAGATGCCGACGGCTTAACCACTGGTCTGTCATTGAAAAATTTCTGATTGCATTTCCGTCATCAAACTATATCATTAGTGGAACGTGGATTCAGCGCTGTAACTTTAACAAATTACTAATAATTATTACTATTACTAGACGATTACTAATAGTCGATCGTGGTGATTTAAGATTACTTTTGGCTTAGATAGAACCGATAATTTCTAAATTGGTAACAGCACACCAAATTCATCCCTCAAATTAAAATTATAATGAGTGTATCTTTATTCTGAATATAGTTTTATAATTTCAAACTTTGATGCTATTTTACAACCTTCTTTTGAAAGAGTAAAATATTAATTTTGATAACGTCCATTATTTTAATAAATAAATCTTGAAATGTTTTGCAAAATCAATAGTGATATATCCGTAATAAGTATATTTGAAAAATTCAATTCATTGACTTGAGGACCTAGAATATTTGAAATTCACTGATTCACTAAATTTTTTTCCGAATGGTTTATTATTTATTAAAATAGCGTACTCTGTCAAAATTGGTTTCTTGTTGGTCAATTTATTTTTTACAGATTCAATAATTTTTATATATCTTATTAATTGCTATTGAAATGAAAAAAATTAGGGGGGCGCTGAGTAATATTTTTTCTGGGAAGGGGGCGGTAGGTGAAATAAGTTTGGGAATCACTGGTGTAACATAAAATTTAACTTCTCCATGCTTGCGATTCAGCCAGACTTTGATATTTAGACTAAGACTATGCGTCCATCTGCCCTTCACTGCGGCTGCGGTTCTTCTGTTCTTAATTTTTCTGAGTTAGGATTTCTTCATTGGTAAATTGTCCATCTTTCATCTGCTAATACTAAGAGAGGCAGAGTTTCTGAAATGACACACTGTGGTTCCTCCGACATTGTGTGAAATAAGGAAACAACTTTTAAGGCACTCAGACGGTATATGGAAATATCATATGTTAGCACCGTGGTAACCACTGAAGATAGTAATATCCTTCTGCTTTGTTTTGGGCCTCCAACATTAGAGTAACCCTAACTACTGCACAAACGTGTTCTTACAAACGTGTCTCGGATACAATTTTTCATCCATGATTTCGAGCGCACGGATCAACCGACTCGAATGATTTTTAAGACATTCGATTCGTATCGATTTCGAGACGTTGATTAGTTTTCAGGAAAAGACATGTTCAGCCACGGAGGGCAAAGGGAACAAAAAATGGCAGTTTTTTAATGAACAAAGCATCAGGTTCGAATGATTCGAATGATCGCCACTTATATTGGCGAAGAGATTTTTTTACTAAGACAGGTGCAGCGGTTTCGTAGTTGCAGGGAAAAAGTTAAAATAAATATTTTTGGTCTGAAATAATCATCACCAATCATTATTATTCTATATATACACACTAGCAGGCAGATAGACAGGTTATTAGATACACAAGCAGAAAGGTAAACGGGTGGACAGGTAGGCAGGTACAAAAGTAGACAAGTTGACAATTATACAGGTAGAATCTTAATGAAGTAAACAAGTAGACTATTAGGCAGATAGATCATACACAAATTCAATATTGATTATATCGATTGTTTAAACATATCGGGAATTTCATGCAACTAGTGTCATTCTGTCAGTGGCGTAACTATAGGGTGGCGTGGGTGGCAAAATGCCACGGGCCCCCGGCCCAAGGGGGGGCCCCGGTCCAAAAGGACGCATGCTCAGAAATATTTTTACATTATATTCTAATACTTTATTTTACTTGAAAATTATGTTTTCGTAGGGGCGTAACTACCGTCGTATCAGCCGTATCAAATATACGGGGCCCCCAAACCAGGGGGCCCCCAATGTCCGTAAGAAACATTAATAATATAAAAAAATCATGAAAAACGAATTAATCATGAAAACTTAGTTCAACCAAATTTAATGTCGTTAAAAAAGTAAGCGAGGAATGTAAGATTATTATTTTAAAGAGTTTTATTTTGTCCAGGCCACGGGGGCCCCAAATACGCGTAAAAAATCCGCGAGGAATGTAAGATTATTATTTTAAAGAGTTTTATTTTGTCCAGGCCACGGGGGCCCCAAATACGTGTAAAAAAGTCTGCGAGGAATGTAAGATTATTATTTTAAAGAGTTTTATTTTGTCCAGGCCACGGGGGGCCCAAATACGTGTAAAAAAGTACGCGATGAATGTACGATTATTATTTTAAAGAGTTTTATTTTGTCCAGGCCACGGGGGCCCCAAATACGTGTAAAAAAGTCTGCGAGGAATGTAAGATTATTATTTTAAAGAGTTTTATTTTGTCCAGGCCACCGGGGCCCCAAATACGCGTAAAAAGTCCGCGAGGAATGTAAGATTATTATTTTGAAGAGTCTTATTTTGTCCAGGCCACGGAGGTCCCAAATACGCGTAAAAATTAGTAAAATCTAACAAATTTTGGTTTTATTTCACTAATAACAAAAGTTAGAATAAACATGAAAATTTTCTTCTAAATAAATTTAATTTCGAAAAACAAAACATGAGCGTGTGAGAATGTAAAAATATAATTTTAGAGTGTTGTGATTTTTTTTTAATATTTTCTTTAATATTATTTATGAAGCTCTATAATATGCTTCTAATAGAAAACTTTTTATTAAGTTTTGAAAATACTATGGCTCGTTCATTAAATTTTGATAATGTCATAGACACTTTTGCAGAACAGAAAGCACGAAGAAAAGATTTCAAATAATAAATACCTTATTGAAATTAAATTGTTGTTTTTATTTCATTCCAAATTTATGCATATTTTAAATAGGTTTCTTCACCAGAATGGGCCAGCGAGTATATGACGAATATGAAGTTTTCAAAAAGTATTAAAAAGGATTTGATTGTTAAGAAAACTCGTGAAAAATTGATTGTTAATGTTAGGTTATGTAATAATTATTTTTAACCCCAAAGTACTATGTTCTTTCCCTGTTGAATTCAGGCATAAAAAAATCCTTTCTATAGTTCATGTATTACAATGTTTAAACACAAAAATTTTATGTTTGATTTTCAAAACAAACTGATTGTACTATTAATTATTAATTTTGACTTATTATTTTTATTTTTATGTTTTCTTGTACTTATACATTTTAAATAATTTCTTAATTTAAAACCATAAAATATAAATAAGTCGAAGTAGATTTACTCATTTTTAATACAATTTATTACAAATCGTGGATATATATATATATATATATATATATATATATATATATATATAACATTTAAATCAACACGTTGAAAAATTTCGAGTTTTTTTTTAAATTAAATTAAAACCACTTGATTTTACTGATGGGGGCCCCATAAAAAAAATTGCCACGGGCCCCGGGTGGCCTAGTTACGCCACTGCATTCTGTCATTATTAATAATAATTATTTTCCAGGTCGTAAGATATGCAGATCTGTATGCGGCAACATTCTCTAATTTGATTTACTACCCCTTCTCATTCATGTTTCGAGCGCCATCAATGCTTCTTCCACATGAATCAACTGTAGCACACGAGCAAAGCTTTATTATGGATCCCAAGATGGTATCATCGAGAACAAGAAACGCGAACGACTTGGATAATACAGCTACGCCCGGAAAGGTATATTTTGGAATTCAACATTATTATCTTTCTTTATTGCTTTCAAGATTTCTATCATTTGCGTTTTAAATGCCAAAAAAATGCATCTACAAAAATATAATAGTTCTTTTTTAATAATATACTTTACAATAGTAAACAGTTGCCAAATATGTCTAAGTGTTTATTTACTCTTAAAATTATATGGACTTTTGTAACATACTTAGGTTTTGGTTTGCATTATAACCTTCTATGTGCCGAATTTTTGTTTCGAAAGTAGGAGAGCAAATAATTATATAAATAATAATAAATAATGATATGCAGATGAAAAAAAATCTTTTTAAAAATTATGTGACTGTCAAATCACAACAGCCCATGAAGTTCGCACTTTGTGAAAATATTATTTCAGGTTCAAAAGCCTAGCAATGGTGATAAATATTGATAATGATCGTCTTGACTATGTTATTGAAATAAATTTATGAGTCATCTCACAAAAAAATCTATAATTATGTGGTAAAATATCGAAAAAATTAGAATGTGGTTTGAAAACAATCAAATTTTTGTTTTTCGTAATCATACTGATATCGAGCTACGATATCGATTTTCACAAGGAAATATAGATACAAAATACGCTTCCAAGTAAAAACAGTCCTTTTTTAGCAATGCGGCACCTAATTAAGTATGTATGAGCAATAGAAGATGAAGAATAATAGTGAAATTTTGTCAAATATAAGTAGTTTAACCGTTGGGTTGTAATTTAAATACTTCGTAAAAAGAAGAAGTTTGAGCATAAAAGCTCATAGAACGGAAAGTCTGATTTCTGTTAAAGATGTGAATATAATTTTGACAAACGGAATCATAAATGCCAAATGAATAGCACGCGCCGCTGTGAGAAGTTCATTATTCCCATATTTTTAAATAATTCACCTATATTCAAATGCTTAACTTAAAAAATACTAATGCAATAAAATTCTGCTGAAGCCAAGCTAAAACAATGATTTCAGTTAATAAAAACAACAAATAATAATGGCAAGCTGGGATAATGGTTTTATGCGTAAAGACTTCTGAGCACTAAAATCAGATCGTTTCCAATTATTTATCGAAGTAACTCGACTTCAAGCTTAGTCCAACACTTGGAAGTAATATTTTTCTTAAGTAAGTGTCAATAATTAAACTATTAAGGTTCCATACTTAAGATCACGTTATCGACATGATTATATCATTAATAGTTTAAATGGTTTATTATTATTATTATTATTTTAATCCGGTTAATCACCTTGATACTTTCCTTAACTGTCTAAATATTTTAGAAAGAATATTTGATTTTTATGTGTCTGAAACAGCTTTGTGATAGGTGCAAAGTCGTGAAGATCGTACACGGTTATGAGCCAGACCGCAACTCGCGCTAATAAACAAAAAGAAAATTAAGTTTAAAAGAAAATTATAGCAATGTATCATAACTTATCGGTTAGTTCAATCGCATCCCATATATTTTACAAAAACATCTAGGATTTTACTCATACTTTTGTTTCAAATTTTAGATATTGGAACGCATGAATTCGCAGATTCCGCATCATAGACCAGAAACACCACGCTCCGTAACTCATAACCACGATGAAGATTGTTCGGACGATGAAGACAAAAAATCGCTCGACAAGAATCAAGAGAATTGAATATCTATTCTATTTCGAAAATAAATGCTTATCAAATAGTATATTTATTATGCAAGGAAAGATGAAATAGATTTCTACAAATCGCGCAGATATATATATATATATATATATATATATATATATAGTATATAAAATATTATATAATAAAATAAAAAGTTTATGCACATAGTTAATAAAATAATTCATATATTCATAAATCGTTTTTCATTCAAATTATTAACAAAAAATGTCATGAACATATACAAATAAATTATGTTAACAAACTGATAAAAAATTATTTCTATTTATAATAATAATTACTTTCCTTGAGACTATATATTGACTTAAGGAGTTAGGGGTACTTAAAATTTTTCGATTTCGATTTTTATTTTTTTGCATTTTCGTTAAGTGTAATATCTTGATAATATTCTCTGAAAATTTCCAGTTGATCCTGTGATTACTTTTTGAGTCATTGGACTCTTACCATCGCGCTGACGCAAGTGGAGAGCTCGATACTTATATTCAAGATTATTCTCCCTTACCTCCTGATGTTTTAAAAGCTTTCAAACTAATTTACGATATCAGCAATAATAATTTACTTTCAAGATATGTAGTTCAGGATTGAATCCATAATCAGAAAAAAATTGAAAGCTTCAAGCAACTAGTTTGAAAAATATGCCCAAAAACCGTGAATACTAGTTCTACTATCGTAAAAACTTCAGAATACATATACATAATAATCATTATTAATGATATGGATACCCTAGAAACTAATTGTGGGTATAATTTCCATTGGTATGCTGAAAAATTGGATGCTGCACGTGTGAAAGTGGCAGATCCTTTGCTTCGTAGGCAACAGCAAATGGAAATTTTGGAAACTTGCACAATGACTGATAAACTATTACATGGCCCAGAAATAGATGACTCGGCTTAAGTAAACCTATAATTCGCATTTCTGTACGCAAATTCATGTGAGACTTTACACGCGTTTTTCCCAAAACTGTTTTTGAACAGGTGACAACTGTAACTCAAAAACCGCTAAGTAGATTATAATGAAAATACAGCTTTCAGAATACATAATGAACTCGAGCCTGATCAAAGGATTTTTATTTTTTCATAAATTTAATTTTTTTAAGACCAATTAACTGTTGATTTTTTCCCAAAAATCTAGATTTTTTTTTCTCATTTTGTTAATTTTTGCAAAAAAAAACGAAAAGCTTCGATCAGGCCCAGGATTATCTATTTATAAAACTATTTTTTTAATTCGGTTGATTTTAGATAAATCTCCAAGGAGTTATGACTGTCACCGCCAGAACCGTTTTTTTTAAACTGGGTCAGCAAAAACAGCTATAACTTCGGAAATAATTTTTTTTCTGAATTTTTTGTTACGTCAAGTCAAAACATTGTATAATAATGCCGCAATACTATTTTTGTAAAAAACATCGTTTAATAACAAAAAAAAATACTGAACATTCTCATTTTTTCGTGCGTCTAAGTACCCCTAACCCCTTAAATCACGTGAAACGCGGCATTTATAAAGTATCTTAAAATTTTTTACAAAAAAAGATTATCTGTTAGGTCTTCATTGTCAGGATAAATAACCCAATGACGATAACAAGGTCGGTGTAAGCTTTGTTCAACATAAACTGCCAATATCACCTAGTTTCATAAAAAACAAATTATCCAGAACCCAGTATAAAGACAGGATTATATTTTATTTAAAAGTAAAAAGTCTAAACGTATTAATAAAATATAATCTTCATATGAGAAAAATGTGACATTGAATGTGGATTTAGCTTCAAAATCAAATGTTTGAAAATTCAAAGATGCCTAAATAATTTACTAAAAACAATTTTGAATGCCACAAGGTATGTACCGAATTGATTAATATGTAATAACAGACAATTATAAAATCCGGCTCGAGAATCACAAAAACTTAGTTACTAAGTAGCACTTGTCAGAAAACATCACCACAACAGGGCAAAATTAAAAAACTAGTTGGTTTGGTATTTAGCCTAGAGGCAAGTTACATGAACTTCCCGATATGTGTAAATAATCGACATAATCAATAAAAAATGTGTAAATAATATACTTCATCAATTCTACTTTAAAAAAAACGATAATAATTTTAGCAAACTTTGACGAATTTTTAAAATTAAACTACTCGTCGTAAGGCCGTAATATTACAGTAAGTTCTATAAGACCATGATGTATATCGCCAAAAAAAGTTCCATGAAATTCGGCTTAAATTTTTTTTTTCAACAGTTAATTACAAGAAAACGGCTCGGTAGATTTTCACCTAAAATTAATCAGTAACATTCCCAACTAATATCTTTCGAACAGTTTTTGATTTTTTAAAATCGGTTCGGTAGGATGAGCTCAAATGTGGACGAAAAGTTTAACACTTTTTTTCAAATTGCAAAGAAACGGCTTTAGATAAGTTCAACTAAAAAACACTTCATTTTTGTAATCGAAATAAATTCATTACTGTTGTATAATAAAATCAACAGAATTTTAGCGCAGAAACAGACATTCTTGCTTAATTAAAAATGTACATATGCCTGTGCCTAATTGAAAACAAAGTATAATTATTTAGTTAGTAATTATAGAAGCATAAGATGAATAATATCGCATATCGTTAGCTTAAACTATATAATTTTGTAACTTAATAATATTGATATTACAGCCAGACGATCCTCATCGAGACTGGAAAACTTACTTTGGCGTAATAGTGGTAGATGCACACAAACCTCTTTTCTTTGGTGAAGGTACAATTTTGCGTCAGGTTGACACTCGAACAGGATCGTTAAAAGTGGGCACGCATATGGGACCATTACAACCTGGTCAAGTCTATAGTGGCGGTAAGTACTACTTTATCTCATTCTTATAAGAATGATGTGAAATAATGAAATAGTTCGGAATTGATTTGCAAAGTTGAAATCATATACTTTAACTATATAAGGAAACTTTCAAATCTTTCAAAATTTTGAAACTTTTAGAATAACTTGATACGTTTTCACATTTTTGAAATTCTAATAAAATCTGATATTTATTTCAGATGTTTTCTAAAATAATATTTTTGCTTTATTTTCCCCAACAACCAATCATTTCTTCACACCGCCAACTAAGGGAATATAAGAATAATTTTTGAATCATTTCAATCGAATGATCCATTCTCTCAAAAACTGCATAAACATTTTCTACAGCTTTGTTCCGTACCTCCGAAAGACCTACCTTTCGAAAAAACTAACTAGCACATCTCGCCGACATTACGAACCGAATGTTTACCGAAGAAGTCGAGGACATTTGATTGAGCTATAATGAAAATCCAATCAATTTTTCATTCCGTCAATAACTTATAATTTGATGTGCATATGTCCAAAGACTATTTTTGACCATCAAATGGCATTTCTGCATCTCCGAAGCTGCTGGACTCGCCTTTACAGAAATGTAGTCAGTTTTTCACTCCGTCAATACGAATCGATTGTTTTAATCATTCTAATCCGGTGTCCCGTTCTTTCAAAAATTACCATCACTTTGCTCTTTTTGAGCACTTTTTGCTCATTATTTCAGAAACGGCTAGACTTGCCGTTGTTAAAAACTAATCCGCACGTCCCCCCATCATAAATAATAAAAAAATTAAATGTTTAAAATATTTAAATCAGATAAATCTAAAATTCAAATAATGGTGCTAAAGTTCAACTCCGTGCTTTAAGGCAAATTGCTGGAACTTTCCGTACCGAAAATTAAAATTTTCAAAAAAGCAACATTTTTTGAAAACTTTGAAAAAATTACATTTTTGAGAATTTAGAAGTTTTTAAAAAAATGTGTTTCAAATCTAATTTTGATTTTTTTTTAAAATCTTGAATTCTTTTTAAAAACAAAGCAAACAAAGCAAACAACGCAACTGGCTGCGTAGCTCTTTTAGAGAAGAAATATAAATGAAATATAGAAACGCAATGAATGAAATATAGTCGCAGTTAAACATTATCACAAAACCCATAGAAATGTGAAAAAAATGTTTACTTATTAAAATCTCTATAAAATATATTATAATTCGATGTGAATATGTGTAATGATCTTTTTCGATCGACAGATGTCAATTTTTTGTACCATTTTATTGAATATCCCAAACATCTAGACCCGCCTTCCAAAAATTTTACCAGTTTTTTATCTCGTCTTTTGGCTGGAACTAATCAGGACGTATCTCAATCATTCTTATTAAATTAATAAGTATAATATAACATCGTTGGAAATAAATCTCATGCTCAAAATGCTAGGAATATATTAACCCTCCCTCCGTCGGTCGGATATTTATTTTCCTTCGAACGGTCGGAGTGGTCTGGCTGGACCACCATTCATTTTACATGCATATGAGATAAATGAGTTTTTGGTGTCTTATATAATAACGATTATTAGAAATAAATATTTATAGTTTTGATTTTTTCTTTTTCTTGCCGTTTTTTGCATGTGTTGAGCTTGCCTCTAATAAAAATATTTAAAAAAAATCATAGAAATATAAAAAAATCGTCGCTTTTTTGTTAATTTTTCTGTTTTATATTAATGAAAAACAATATTTATTCTTCTTCGGTACCTTCGAAATGAATGTGAAATTCAAATGAAAACGAAATGAGGTGGTCGCCTTTGGAATGAGCTGTAAAACTCAAAGTGAAAATATAATTTCAATTGAACTGCATAATTACGGCTGCAGGTTTGCAAAAAAAAGTTTCGAACGCAGAACCGGTAGAAAAATTGTTGATAATGTGCGCATTATTCATCTGATATTCAATGTTTGCGATAACCAATAAGTTTGATAGGTTTGTGTACGTGTAAATACCAACATTCATGTTACAACACATAGCAAATAATATATAAAACGCAGTTTGAATAGAAAATACCAGAAGAAAGACAAAAGTCTAATCAAAACGCGTCATATTTCAGACGCGTATGGTTGGTCTAGACAGACCACTCCGACCGTTCGAAGTATAAAAAAGTTAATATGCTTATAATTATCCTTCTGTACATTTTTTCATCCTGATTTCATTGATCGACAGCTAATGAAATTTTAGAAAAAGTCAAGAAATTACAAGTCGATAGGATTACTAGAAGTATTTTTTTTAAAATTGAAGTCGAAAAAAGTCTGGCCAGACCACTCCGACCGACGGAGGGTTAATAGTTTTTAGTCCATTTTAATCGTGTTTATTTAATATTATAGCAAATCTTTCATATTTGCAGGATCGAGTGATGTATTTACTGAACTTATAGGAGCTAAAGGTAAAGATGTTTTGTACATAGGCGATCATATCTTTGGCGATATTTTAAAATCAAAAAAGATTCGTGGTTGGAGAACATTTCTGGTCGTTCCTGAATTAGTTCACGAGCTACATGTTTGGACAGATAAATGTCAACTTTTTGAAGATCTTCAAAATTTAGATGTGATGCTCGGAGATGTCTACAAGTGAGTTTTAACATAGACTGGTTCTTATTAACTTCCCGAAGGAGAAGTTTATGTTTTCATAAAAAAACTGAATTGCTAATTTTACGTTTTCTCGACGTTTCAAGCCATTATGAATCGAATGAGACCAAATTTGGAAAAAGTATGTGTGTGTGTGTGAACAGATTTTTTGCCGTAAATCGACGTTTTCTCAAAAACGGGTGAACCGATTTCAAAAATTTTAAAGCCATTCGATGTATCTCGATGAGGACTAGCGTTTCTAAGTTTTGTGCGACGATCGGCCGAGCCGTTTCTTTGTAAATCGCAGAAAAGTGAAAAATTTTTCGTCCACGTTTTAGCCCGCAATTGTGAATCGATTTTGAAAATTCAAAAACTGTTCGAAACATATTGGTTGGGAATCGACCTGATTAGTTTTCGGTAAAGATCGGCCGGGCCGTTTTCTTGTAATAAGGTGTTAAAAAATTTTTTAGACAATTTTCATGATTTTTTTTTGCCGGTAGATACCATACTCCTATAGATCATACTAGAATATTACGGTCCTACGACAAGTCGTTTAATTTTAAAAAATCGTTTAATTTAGTGTCGTTTTTTTGGCGTTTGTCAAAATTATAACTTTCATCAAAGTTTGCTCAAAAACACCTGAACCGATTTCAAAACTTCAAAAGTCAATCGATGTATTTTGATGTGGATTATTGTTTCTCAGTTTTGTGCAGCGATCGGCCGAGCCATTTCTTTGAAATTTGAAAAAAGTGTTAAACTTTTCGTCCACATTTAAGCTCATACTACCGAATCGATTTAAAAAAAATCAAAGACTTTGAAAGATAGGGTGATAATGATATCCATTATATCATTTAGGTACAGTTATTGCCTACATTATAATAATCATGATAGGGTGATAATGATATTCTTTATATCATTTAGGTACAGTTGTTAAGTTTTCCAGAACATTGTCTTTTATGTGGCGCATGATATGAAGGCACAACTAAGCCTTTGTTTAAGCTGCAATTTTAATTACAAATAATATAAAAAATTATAAGTAATTTCAGATAAATAGCTAAAATATGATTTTCTTTGAATCCTTATCCTTTCCGATTCGGAATAACATCCAAAATTTCTTCATCGAACTTGTTTATTGAAATAATACATTTCCCTTTTTAGAGATTTGGATTCAAGTAATAAAGAAAAACCGGACATAAGCAAACTTCGTAATTCCATAAGAGACGTTACACATAAAATGGATTTAGCATATGGCATGATGGGCTCTCTGTTTAGGTCCGGTTCACGACAGACCTTCTTCTCATCTCAGGTAAGTGAAATAAATCAATTAATATAAATGTTATACTAATCAAAGAATAATATTTATCCACCCCAAAAAAATTGACTACAATATAAGAATATGTATTTGTATTTATTAATATTACTCGGTTAATAATGACTATCAAAATCAATTTTCGCTCATATTATTGTGTGATAATTATTGCTTTTAATTTATTTGACTTAGAAGCTTAAGGTAATGGTATGTTAACCATTTAATGTAATGGTTACCGTCGACCTCAGTTCATTCGCGCAAAACTGGAAATTTGAATGAACTCGTTCATAGGAATTTTTAAACTTATCGCAACTTGTTAGACGATCGGATCACCATATGGAATTTATAAAATTTTATATTATATTTTACTATATATATTAATTTAAAAAAAATGGTAGTAACAAACTGTTAAACAGCTATGTTTTTACTGTGCGATCAATCGTTTTGTCGAAACGTGTTATCAAAGAGACATCAGAAAGGTGCACTTTTGGTGCCTTATTATAATCAAATTTTTATTTGACTTGAAATCGTTTCGTACTTTATATGTGAAACATCTGATCACATATTAAAAACATCACTTCCACGAGAGTATCTCGAGTAATTCTCCTGGTTAACATCACTTCTACACCACCCCATTGTGCACTAAATCACAAGGCACACGAAAAACCCTTTCTCGGCTATTTCGATTTCGCCTAAACAATATGGGCAAACCGGCGAGTTATCGTTCTTGAAGCGGTGAAGGTAGGCTCGAAAACAGTCGTACCCTTACATCATTTGTGTAACATAAAATTTAACTCCTCCAAGCTTGCGATTTAGCTTTGATATTTAGATTAAGACTATGCGTCCATCTTTCCTTCACTGTGGCTGCGGTTCTTCTGTTTTTAATTTTTCTGGGTTGTGATTTCTTCTTTCATCTGCTAATACTAAGAGAGGCAGAGTTTCTGAAATGACACACTGTGGTTCCTCCGACATTGTGCGAAATAAGGAAACAACATATGTTAGCACCTTGGTAACCACTGAAGGTAGTAATATCCTTCTGCTTTGTTTTGGGCCACCAACATTAGAGTAACCTTAACTACTGCACAAACGTGTTCTGTCTGTGAGTGTATATATGTGCTTGTATAGATACAATTTTTTCATCCACGATTTCGAGCGCACGGATCAACCGGCTCGAATGATTTTTAAGACATTCGATTCGTATTGATTTCGAGACGTTGATTAGTTTTCAGGAAAAGACATGTTCAGCCACAGAGGGCAAAGAGAAAAAAAATGACAGTTTTTGAGTGAACAAAGCATCAGATTCGAATGATTTAAACATTTTACTTGTATTGGCGAAGAGATTTTTTTACTAAGACAGGTGCAGCGGTTTTGGTAGTTGCAGGGAAAAAGTTAAAATAAATATTTTTGGTGGTCTGAAATAATCATTACCAGTCATTATTATTCTATATGTACACACTAGCAGGCAGATAGACAGAGGTTATTAGATACACAAGCAAAAAGGTAAACGGGTGGACAGGTAGGCAGGTATAAAAGAAGACAAGTTGACAATTACACAGGTAGAATCTTAATGAAGTAAACAAGTAGACTATTAGGCAGATAGATCATACACAAATTCAATATTGATTATATCGATTGTTTAAACATATCGGGAATTTCATGTAACTAGCCTTAGAGAAAAATGCTTCTTATATAGTGTAATTATGTCATTATTAATAATAATTATTTTCCAGGTCGTAAGATATGCAGATCTGTATGCGGCAACATTCTCTAATTTGATTTACTACCCCTTCTCATTCATGTTTCGAGCGCCATCAATGCTTCTTCCACATGAATCAACTGTAGCACACGAGCAAAGCTTTATTATGGATCCCAAGATGGTATCATCGAGAACAAGAAACGCGAACGACTTGGATAATACAGCTACGCCCGGAAAGGTATATTTTGGAATTCAACATTATTATCTTTCTTTATTGCTTTCAAGATTTCTATCATTTGCGTTTTAAATGCCAAAAAAATGCATCTACAAAAATATAATAGTTCTTTTTTAATAATATACTTTACAATAGTAAACAGTTGCCAAATATGTCTAAGTGTTTATTTACTCTTAAAATTATATGGACTTTTGTAACATACTTAGGTTTTGGTTTGCATTATAACCTTCTATGTGCCGAATTTTTGTTTCGAAAGTAGGAGAACAAATAATTATATAAATAATAATAAATAATGATATGCAGATGAAAAAAAATCTTTTTAAAAATTATGTGACTGTCAAATCACAACAGCCCATGAAGTTCGCACTTTGTGAAAATATTATTTCAGGTTCAAAAGCCTAGCAATGGTGATAAATATTGATAATGATCGTCTTGACTATGTTATTGAAATAAATTTATGAGTCATCTCACAAAAAAATCTATAATTATGTGGTAAAATATCGAAAAAATTAGAATGTGGTTTGAAAACAATCAAATTTTTGTTTTTCGTAATCATACTGATATCGAGCTACGATATCGATTTTCACAAGGAAATATAGATACAAAATACGCTTCCAAGTAAAAACAGTCCTTTTTTAGCAATGCGGCACCTAATTAAGTATGTATGAGCAATAGAAGATGAAGAATAATAGTGAAATTTTGTCAAATATAAGTAGTTTAACCGTTGGGTTGTAATTTAAATACTTCGTAAAAAGAAGAAGTTTGAGCATAAAAGCTCATAGAACGGAAAGTCTGATTTCTGTTAAAGATGTGAATATAATTTTGACAAACGGAATCATAAATGCCAAATGAATAGCACGCGCCGCTGTGAGAAGTTCATTATTCCCATATTTTTAAATAATTCACCTATATTCAAATGCTTAACTTAAAAAATACTAATGCAATAAAATTCTGCTGAAGCCAAGCTAAAACAATGATTTCAGTTAATAAAAACAACAAATAATAATGGCAAGCTGGGATAATGGTTTTATGCGTAAAGACTTCTGAGCACTAAAATCAGATCGTTTCCAATTATTTATCGAAGTAACTCGACTTCAAGCTTAGTCCAACACTTGGAAGTAATATTTTTCTTAAGTAAGTGTCAATAATTAAACTATTAAGGTTCCATACTTAAGATCACGTTATCGACATGATTATATCATTAATAATTTAAATGGTTTATTATTATTATTATTATTTTAATCCGGTTAATCACCTTGATACTTTCCTTAACTGTCTAAATATTTTAGAAAGAATATTTGATTTTTATGTGTCTGAAACAGCTTTGTGATAGGTGCAAAGTCGTGAAGATCGTACACGGTTATGAGCCAGACCGCAACTCGCGCTAATAAACAAAAAGAAAATTAAGTTTAAAAGAAAATTATAGCAATGTATCATAACTTATCGGTTAGTTCAATCGCATCCCATATATTTTACAAAAACATCTAGGATTTTACTCATACTTTTGTTTCAAATTTTAGATATTGGAACGCATGAATTCGCAGATTCCGCATCATAGACCAGAAACACCACGCTCCGTAACTCATAACCACGATGAAGATTGTTCGGACGATGAAGACAAAAAATCGCTCGACAAGAATCAAGAGAATTGAATATCTATTCTATTTCGAAAATAAATGCTTATCAAATAGTATATTTATTATGCAAGGAAAGATGAAATAGATTCAATTTCTTGATTTCTACAAATCGCGCAGATATATATATATATATATATATATATATATATATATATATATATAGTATATAATATATTATATAATAAAATAAAAAGTTTATGCACATAGTTAATAAAATAATTCATATATTCATAAATCGTTTTTCATTCAAATTATTAACAAATAATGTCATGAACATATACAAATAAATCATGTTAACAAACTTATAAAAAATTATTTCTATTTATAATAATAATTACTTTCCTTGAGACTATATATTGACTTAAGGAGTTAGGGGTACTTGAAATTTTTGAAAAATCGATTTTTATTTTTTTGCATTTTCGTTAAGTGTAATATCTTGAAAATATTTTCTGAAAATTTCAAGTTGATCCTATGATTACTTTTTGAGTCATTGGACTCTTACCAGCGCGCTGACGCAAGTGGAGAGCTCGATACTTATACTCAAGATTATTCTCCCTTACCTCCTGATGTTTTAAAAGCTTTCAAACCGATTTACGATATCAGCAATGATAATTCACTTTCAAGATATGTAGTTCAAGATTGAATCCATAATCAGAAAAAAAATTGAAAAAATTGAAAATAGATTGAAAAATATGCCCAAAAACCGTGAATACTAGTTTTACTATCGTACAAACTTCAGAATACATATACATAATCATTATTAATGGTATGGATACCCTAGAAACTAATTGTGGGTATAATTTCCATTGGTATGCTGAAAAATTGGATGCTGCACGTGTGAAAGTGGCAGATCGTTTGCTTCGTAGGCAACAGCAAATGGAAATTTTGGAAACTTGCACAATGACTGATAAACTATTACATGGCCCAGAAATAGATGACTCGGCTTAAGTAAACCTATAATTCGCATTTCTGTACGCAAATTCAATGTGAAACTTTAAACGCGTTTTTCCCAAAACTGTTTTTGAACTGGTGACAACTGTAACTCAAAAACCGCTAAGTAGATTATAATGAAATTTATACAGCTTTCAGAATACATAATAAACTCGAGCCTGAACGAATAATTTTTATTTTTCCATAAATTCAATTTTTTTAAGACCAATTAACTGTTGATTTTTTCCCAAAAATCTAGATTTTTTTTTCTCATGCCGCCATTTTGTTAAGTTTTGCAAAAAAACGAAAAGCTTCGATTAGGCCCAGAATTATCTATTTATAAAACTATGTTTTTTTATTTGGTTGATTTTAGATGAATCTCCTAGGAGTTATGACTGTCACCGCGAGAACCGTTTTTTAAACTGGGTCAGCAAAAACAGCTATAACTTCGGAAATATTTTTTTTCTGAATTTTTTGTTACGTCAAGTCAAAACATTGTATAATAATGCCGCAATACTATTTTTGTACTTTTGTAAAAAACGTCGTTTAATAACAAAAAAAATACTGAAAATTCTCACTTTTCCCTGCCTCTAAGTACCCCTAACCACTTAAATCACGTGAAACGCGCATTTATAGAGTATCTTAAAAATTTTTACAAAAGAAGATTATCTGTTAGGTCTTCATTGTCAGGATAAATAACCCAATGACGATGACAATGTCGGTGTAAGCTTTGTTCAACATAAACTGACAATATCACCTAGTTTCATACAAAACAAATTATCCAGAACCCAGCATAAAGACTGGATTATATTTAAAAGTAAAAAGTCTAAACGTATTAATAAAATATAATCTTCATATGAGAAAAATGTTACATTGAATGTGGATTCAGCTTCAAAATCAAAAGTTTGAAAATTCAGAGATGCCTAAATAAATTACTAAAAACAATTTTGAATGCCACAAGGTATGTACCGAATTGATTAATATGTAAAAACGACATTAACACAATAACAGACAATTATAAAATCCGGCTCGAGAATCACACAAACTTAGTCACTAGCACTTGTCAGAAAACATCACCACAACAGGGCAAAATTAAAAATAAAAAATCATGTTGCATTCATATCTGTCAATTTTCAAGACCTCTGGTCAGAAGATTTTGTTTTTTAAGATTTTTTTTCATGCTTATATAATAATGTATAACATTAGAGTACAACTAATCAAAGTATGAGATCATGTTTATTTCTTTGGCAATTAATAAAAACATTTTAAAATAACATTCATAAAAAATAATTGTTGAACGACAATAAAATTTTCAAAAAAAAAACAATTCATAGAAATTTTCTAATGTAACTTATATAAAATATTATTTATAAAAATTAGAGTATAATGAAAGCATTTCATCAATTTCCAACTCTTCTTGCAAATCATCCTCAGATATCTTCAAAGCCCTCTGGCCGTTTAATCCGTCATAAAATTTTAAGAACGATTGCGCCTATAATAAATATGTTTTACCAATTGAATTAAATTGCGACTAAAAAATTCTATCGCATATCAAATATAAATAAAATATAACATACATTGTAAGTTAAAAGTAGATACTTACATCTTTTTTTTCGGACTCTAATAAGCGTAGTTTAAAATTTTTTTCAGTCAATATCATCCGCCTTTGTTGACCAAATTTTTCTTTTGCAAATCTTGTCTCCTAATTATAAAAAATATTAAATTACTGCACATATTGCATTAAAAATATAAAAAATAATATACATATGTGTACACGTTTATCTTAACAAGTTTTTTCGTTTATGTACACATGATATTTTTCAAACAAAATATATATGTATGATTCGTAAAAATTTGTTCACTTTTGATTCGGTATTATGACAAGATTCTGGCTTCCAGCACATATAATAATTACACTGCATTAAAAATGAAATGAATAAGTGGAATTATATTAGTTCTAATGGTAACAGTCGCCCCATTTATCATAGTCTCTAGTAATTAGTAATGCGTAGCAGTTTTCATCTTCATCTTAATGTTTTTTGTCGATAATATGGCACCACATAGCTACCTTGATAACAGTTCTCTAAGAGCTGTTACCTGCATACATTGAAGTCCAACCTTAACACATTTTTTTTTAGAAGCACTTGTATACCAATTCCTTTGTTTAGCCCATTTAATACTTTGAAATTTCTATTTTCTTTTAAATAAAATATTTTCTTATATAAAATGCACAGTTGTTTTGTAACAGTCAACACTTAAAAAAAAAAACATTTTACACTCATTTGGAAAATACTCTCGTACAGAGCTTCTACGTAGAAGACCTTTTTTACAATTATAAAGAAAAAAATCTATATTTATTTTATCGCGTTTTCAAAAATAGTTTGTATCATACATTTTTAGGTTTATATCATATTTTACACTCTACCATACTATGTAAACAATATTAGCAATAAAGTTTGAAACTGAAATATTATTGATGTAACTATTATTCAGTCTCGTATACAAACATACTATCATATAAGCACTCAATGCAATTTTATCGTAACTTTGAACGCCATATTCAATAATAACATAACATCTTCAAACACATATTTTTATGTAAAAAAACATGAAAATCGAAAAATTCATATTTTTGTTATTTAACACTCTTTTGTCTTTTCTATACCGACTCTTTTCTATACTATTTCTACCAAAGCGGGTCAAATGACACGACACGAATGTGTTGTAAACTATGATAGTTGAATTCTTAATAATTCTGAAAATATAATTTATTTGATAAACATACTTTCTTTCATAAACGTTATAAATACGAATGTTTAAGTCACCGCATTTTGACATCTAATTGTAAGTGCAAGTAATATACATATTCCGCACGCATATTTTTACATTTAGACTAACTAGAGCAAATTTTCATGTTTTTTTTTTTCTACAGTATTCAATTTGACACCACTTATGGAAACAAATATCTGTATTATACTTAATCAATGAGTTTTTCGTATTTGTTCTTTTCCTTAATTGTTCACGAGTTTCACGAATATCGGTGCCTAGTTTTATTGTTTCAGTAAAAAGCAATTCTGTATAAATTCGAGACATTTAGCTTTGATTGTACAACTCTGAGATATTTGTGCCAGATAAAGAATATTGAAAAACACTTAGATTGGTCATTCACAACACTTATTGTCAGAATTTATAGCAAGTTTTCTCGTTATTTGACCCGCTATGTCTACATATGAACAGTTTTCCTAATGATAAATGATAAATGTTTATCATTGCTTTATGTTGTCTGAGTACAATTATCTAAAGGGAAAATTAACGATGAAAATCATTCGCTTCGTAATTTAGCTATAATCTCTTTTTATTCGACGGAATAATTCTAACTTACATCACAATTTGTTCGGAAATAGCTGTTTATCAATAGCTATATAACCGCCAGATTTATAACAATATTGACAATTCTTTATGAAAATTACAAAATCATAGCAAATTAGTTTGTTTTCAAACTTTGTTTCAAATATTTGATAAAGTCCGCAGAAACAAAGGCCATACGGCCTAAAGCTAATTGTAAGAATATCGATAAAATTGTTTCTACCCGATTTCAAAAGTGTCTTAAGGCAAATTGATTTTCTAATATTTATAAAAATTATAAAAACTGAATTACAAAGTTAAAATTATTTATTTAAAGTATATAAGTGAGCTTCAGAACTTTATCCAGAATTAAAATTAAAAGCTGAATTATTTTCTAAATACAAAAAAAAAAAAAAATTTTTTGAAAAAAAATTGAAATAAAAAAAAATCCAAAAAGCATTGTTTTGCCGACGCAAGCAGAATGTTTTTCGAATCATTCAAATCGGATACTCGGTTCACTCAAAAACTTGGTTTCTATTTTCTGCACTCTTGGCTCCGTATCTCCGTAACGTCCGGACCTGCCTTTGCCAAAAACTAATCACAACATTTCCCTATCAATGAGAATCGATTGCTTTTTTAATTTTTCAATTCGGTCGACGAAAAATTGTCTCCACGCATACACACATGCATCCATTTTTTCTGGGATATGCAAAAATGTTCAGAAACCTCTGAAACGTGAAGATAAGCAAAAAAATTTATTTTCGATTTTTGTCCGTTACTATCTATAACTTATACATAAAAAATGATATACATATATTGCCTTTCTAATATATAATATATTAGTCATTTTATGTACTGTATTATATAGGGTGTACCTGAAATCAACGTCAAGCCGAATGGGGGTGAAAGTATGATCATGGCTGTCTTGAAAAAAAATAGAATAAAAAATCTCACATTGGAAATTATGGGGTTTTGAGTGAAACCTAAAGCTTTAGTGCAGGTGCTCTAGATTGCACCTAAAAGCTCATAATTTCCAAACGACGTGAGGTAAATTTTTTCTCCCAATTTTTTAAGGATAGATCTATAGTTCAGGTCAAGACGAATCGACATTTGTCATTTACTTTTGAAAACGCGTGATTATATTTTCATGTACATAATGATCGAAGATCTATTTTTCAATATGAAATGGCAAATAATTTTCAACAATACAATTGATTAACATATTGCGTAGCGCTACCTGACTTGTTTTCAACATATTACATTTCAATTTCGAAATACATTTATATCTAATGATAATTCATGATACCATTTTAAAAGGAAATATTAAATGTACACTGTTTATCACATTCCTGACAACGAAATATGATAAAAGTATTTTCGATGAGCACGTCCCTCGTGTTCGTTTTGACTCCAACAAATAATGAAATAATGTATTCTGAGAATTCGAATCCGCAATGCACCTAACGCGTGGTGAAAACTAGTTGGTATTGGTATTTTGCCTTGAGGCAAGTTACATAAACTTCCCGAAATGTTTAAATAATCGACTTAATCAATAAAAAATAAATTAATTTTTGAGTTATTAAAAGTATTCCGAGTGGATTTACTACATATTTGAAAACAAACGAACACGTTAACTCGGATTATTTTCTAAAAGCAAATTTTAAAAAATCAACAATTTTTATGATTGAACCAGTTTCTGCAAGACTTTAATGGTTTAGTATGTTGATTAAGATCAAGTACTCTATCATTATACCAAGTATATCGTCTAATTTTAATTTTAACAAACGTCAAAAAAACTACTCTTGATGAAGTTTTAAAATAAAACTACTTGTCGTAAGGCCGTAATATTTCAGTAAGTTTTATAAGATGATATATATCGCCAAAAAAAGTTTCATAAAAATCAGATTACATTTGTTTTTCAACAGTTATTTATGAGAAAACGGCTCGGTAAATTTTCACCTAAAATTAATCAGTATCATTCTCAACTAATATTTTTTAAAGTTTAACACTTTTTTTCCAAATTACAAAAAAACGGCTTGGCAGTTCATCGCACAAAACTGATAAACGATAGTCCCCATTGAAATACATGAAATTGATTTTTAATTTCTGAAATCGTTCAGGCGTTTTTGAGCAAACGTCGATGAAAGGTCTAATTTTAACAAATGTCAAAAATAAACGATACTAATTTTTGCAAACATTGACGAATTTTTATAGCTAAACGAGTAGTTGTAGGGCTGTAATATTTTAGTATGATCTAGAAGACTATGGTGTCCACCGTCAAAAAAATAGTAAAAATCGTCGATTTTTTTTTTAAAAAAAAAAAACTTCATTACAAGAAAACGTCCCGGTCGATCTTTACCAAAAACTCATCAGCGCGATTCCCAACCAATATCTTTCGAACGGTTTTTGAATTTAAAAAATCGATTAAGGATTGCGGGCTAAAACGTCGACGAATTTTTTTTCACTTTTCTGCGATTTACAAAGAAACGGCTCGGCCGATCGTCGCACAAAACTCAGAAACGCTCCGCATCGAAATAGATCGAACGGCTTTTAAATTTTTGAAATCGGTCCAACCGTTTTTGTACGGCATTTTTTGGGTAAAAAGCTACTTTCCATAAAAATCAACATTCATATGTTTTCAAATACATAAATTATTACTGAAATTTATAAATTTTCTCGACACGTTTCACAACGGCCTTTACAGAAACAAGGCAGAATAAAAGCATTAAGATAATTCAATCACAGCAAATTAATTATGATGGCAATTTTACCTCTAGTAAACGTAATAACTTTCGATATTTTCATTAAGTAGTGCTAATAATGTTGCAAAATAATAGTCAGTTTAAAGAAAAATGATTAGTTCTACAATATGAAAAAATACTGAATAATACCTCCATTTGTTTCTGATACATCAATCTGAAATCTTGTTCATATTTGTAATAACTAAACAAAGAATCTTGTTGCTCTTTATAATGACGAGACGACAACTCATCCAGTTCACGAATTTCTTCTTGATTCAGGTCTTGAAGAGATTTGTTATTCTGTTCATGAAGTTTGTTAATCTTTGCATCAAACAGAACTTCAAAAGAAACAGTACGATTCTTAGTTGGAATAAATTCATTCTTAAAATTATTCAGGTTCAGGAATGGAAATCTTCTAGTTCTAAAATAATAATATGAACTAAAAAATTTGCTTTGATTTACAAATAAATGATAAATATATTTCTATATTTATTTGTATAATCAAAATCATGCTCTTGACATATGTCTCAAAGTTGAAAAGTAAAAGATCCAAAACGTGGACAGCATACAATAATTTTGTATGCTGCCCATTTTCTTTTCATTACTATTTTCATCATGCAGCATGTTCAATACGCTGATGAGACACATAAAGGGTCGAACGTACAAAATAAATAATTATTGAAATGTTTTTTATTTGAACTCTTTGGCTGCAAATAAACATTTCTAGAATATATATATATATATATATATATATATATATACATGTGTGTGTGTGTGCGTGTGTAAAAAACAATTACCTGTAAGTCATATTTATATGAGGATCTGGAACATTCAAGTTTAGCCATCGTTTGCGTACCGCTTTATATCTCTCTTCATCAGTTTCCAAAGCTTTCAAAACACTCCAGTTTGGATTATCATTGTCTTCATTTTCTTTAGAGTCAAGACTGATATAGGGTGCTCTTACTTTCTTTAATACATCTTTATGATGTATTGCATATATCAACTCATACAAGAATTGGCTATCTTGTCTAATTAAATCAAAATTATATTCTGACAACATGTGTTTCATCTCCATAAAATTATGCCTTATATTATTAATCAATACCTCACAATCTGATAAAAGAAGTTTTGTTTTCTCCTGAATTTTATCCACAATATAGTGTTTTTTATGTAAAGCACCTATTGTTTCAGATAGAGTACACAAATGTATTAAATCAGACCGATATTTTACATTTTTATTATCATTACTTTCATCAATATAGGATTTAATACATGACCTTATTCTGGATGGTATATGATTAAGATCTTTTAAAATTGGCTCATTCATTAAGAGTATAGAATTTTCAAATGACATTTTTTTACTTTGTTCATTATTAATCTTATCCTCTTTTAAACTGCTTTTAACTTCTCTAAGTTGATGTTGAATATTATTTCGAAAGTCACTCTGAAGGTATGATATTTTATTATTCAAATTAATAGTATCCCCATCAGCATTCTCTGAATCTCCACACTTATTATAAGTATTCATTAAATTTGATTGACCTGAAATTATTAATTTTCATCTGTACTAAATTTATTGCAACCAGTTTACTCGTATATCCAAAAATATCATTAACATATTTATTACTATTAATGTTGTGTACAATATACTTTGTAAGTTACCTGTTTTTTCTTCAGTAGCGATATTATTATGACATAAAATAAGATTATCGGTGGGAGAAATTTCTGTGCTATGTAAAAGTTCAGGGTTTTTATAATATCTGTTTGCTATTTCCTGAGCAATAATATATTTATTATCAATGGTGTAATCGGCTGTATTTTTGAGATGGTTTATGGATTCATTTTTGTTGATATTTTGTATTTCCTGGAACGTTTTAGAAATCTCTTCGTTTATAACAAATGATTTATTAGCTATCATTATTTTATTAGCAATTTCATCATTTGAGAAGCATTCAATGCTTTTAACTTCATTTTGATTTGAATCAATTTTAGCCACATTATTAATTTTGAGACAACTTTGTGAATCCTTCTTTTCAATAAGTGAGTTGTCACTAACATCCTAAAATTTAATGTACTTAATTAATAACACTTTATAAATGTAATCAATATAACTATATAAAAAAAATATTCAAAGCATAACCCACCTCATCTCCACACACTCCTTTCTTACTCTTTTTTATTGGAGAAATTACTGCTTTTTGTAAAATATTTGCTGCATGTATTTCGTTATTTTTATCATTTGAAAAACAAATATTAATTGAATTGCAAACTGTGTTGTTTATGGCCTGTGCTTTTTGATCAATGATTTCCTGAGTATTTACATTTGTGGAACAAGATTCAATAACAGTTTTGTCTTCAACACCTTTATCACATGTTTCACTTAAAACTACTAATGCAGTGTCATTAATTGAAGTTATTGTATTACTACCAGAACAAGTTTTTGAGCCGTCAATTTTGCAAATCGTCTGATCATTTGTTTTGAGAGTCAAAACATTCCTTGACACTACAGTTTCATTCAAGAAGTTATCAATTTCATCATCCGAATCTTCTACACAGTCAGGCGCTTGTTCTTCTAATGTAGTCTTTTCTTTTAGTTTCACTTCAACGATTTCCTGATTATTTTTTACATTTTTGGAACAAGATTCAATTACAGTTTTATTTTCAACATCATTATTACTCATTTCACTTAAAGCAACTAATGTAGTATCTTTAACTGAATCACTACCAGAACAATTTTTTGAGCCTTGACATAACAATGAATTTCTGTTGCAATTTTCAATTTTAAAAATCGTCTGATCATTTGGTTTGAGCGTCAAATCATTCTTTGACACAACAGTATTATTCAAAAAGTTATCATCAGGATCTTCTATATAGTCAAGAGCTTGTTCTCTTAATGCAGTTTTTTCTTTTGGTTTAAGAGTAAAATTATTATTTGACAAAACAGTATCATTCAAAAAGTTATCATTAATTATAGCACCTGGGTCTTCTACATAATTAGGCGCTTGCTCTTTTAATGTATCCTCCAATATGCTTTTTTGAGATATTAATTCAGATAATTGATTTTTTAAGATTTCACAATGCTCTCGAAGATGCAAATTATCAGTGATTTTCTGCTCATTTATCTTTTCTTCATTTTTTGTTATGAACATTTGTGTTTCTTGAATAAGAGCATTTGTAAGTTTCAAGTTGTCACATGTTCGCTCGAAACTATTTTTTTCATCTACTGGATATTCCTCTTCATAACTATCATAGCCATCTAAATCTAAAATATCTAAAAATAAAATCTTTTATATGTAATTTAATCATTTTTGAAATCCATTTAAAGTAATTCATGCAAGACACTTCCATTTGACCGAGATATACAAAATATAAAATCAATTAGAAATTTAAATAGAAAATCCTTAAATTTTACAAATACATTTCAAGAAAACAAATAGCTGCGTGAAAAATGGGCCTATGTTTATTACAAAGTCATTATAATATAGGTGGTGTATGGCATTGGGCCAAATTGCTGAAACTTCCCTTACAATAATACAATAGTCAAAGAATAAAAGATGTTTCCAAATATATTATTATAAATACTGTACCTTTCATTATTCGTATTTTACAGACAAAATATAAGAGCATATAAATTGGACAATGATGTTTATATAAGTTTAAATGAAAAGTAAATAAACAAAACTCAATGATCCCTTTCGAAGCGAAGATAGAATTCAATGACCTTATCTTATAGTACTAAAAATTATATAAACTGAATTGCAAAGTTAAAGTTATTTGTTTCAAGTACCTTAGCTAAAATTAAAATTGAAACCAAATTATTTTCGATATTCAAAAAAATATTTTTTTGAAATATATATATCTGATTTTTTTTTTATTTTCAAATAATTTTTTTTTAAAAAAAACTATCGTTTTGTCAACATAAACAGTTTTTTGAATCATTCAAATGGGTTGCCCTGTTCTCTCAAAAACTTAATTTCCATTTTTTGTACTCTTTGCTTCGTATCTCGAAAACGGCTGGACCTGTCTTTGCTAAAAACTAATAAATCGATTCCTATATGATACTTAATACATTAAAAATATTGTAAATACAAGTACAATTCGTAATTAATTTAAAATAAACACATAAAGATTATAATTACAGTGTTTTGCAACAAATTGGTCCTTCAAAAATCATATCAAATCAAACATTTTTTTTTTCCTTGAATATTTAATTCTGATATGGGAAGTTCCAGCAATTTGCCTTAATGCACGATGCCATACACCACTAGTTTATTTATTAAATTATGGTGAAAATGAAAAGAATTTGATGAATGAAAGATAAAAGATTATTACAAGCGAATGACCTAAACTTAGTTCCTTTTTCAATGTCGTTTAATTTACTAATTCCAATCTCCAAATTACTAAGGACTTTTAAAAAATAAATTTTGATTTAGAAGGAGGAAAGGAAAAGTTAGAACCAAGAGCAAAAAGTATACTTTAAATTATAGATAAATGGAGTATTAGAAAAGATTTTGAACCATTTATCAACTGAATTTGCTCTAATTAAGGAAACAGAAAATTTATTATATTTCTCTAAAAGTTTATTAAATTTATTAATGTGTGAATGTATGTCAAATGTAGAAGTTCATGAACATAGCTTGGGAGTGATCTAATTAACTACAACTATTTTATGTTGAGTTTGATGACTAGAAAATATTAAAATTTTATATGGTCATATACAGAAAATCTTACAACAAAACAATTTATAGTGCAGTAAAAATTTAAACATTTCCAATACAGTATTTTTAAGTTCGTATTGTAAAAAATCAAATCAGCATATTTAAATTTTTATTTAAGTTATGATTATAATGTATCTAAAAGTAATAGAGAATTTTAAATTTATTGCAATACAAATAAAATCCTCTTTATGAATTGAATTTCAAAATATCTTTATGAATTGAAGATCAAAATATTAATAGAATAATAAATATATTTGAAAAGTACATTACAAATCCATATATTTTTTTGAATGCCCCTGAAATTATTAACTTATAATTCTACTAACTGTAATTAATATATTGTTTTCTGAGCCTACAAAGCAAAACCAGCGCTCACAATAATTTACAGCTTTACCTATTTCTAAATATTTAAACCTTAGATGTGAAATAGTTCCTACATCAATTGATAATTATAATTATAATTATAGCTATAGCTTATACCTACAAACCATAATAAATTGAAAATAAATAGAAAAAAATGGCAATAAAAATATAAAAAAATGAGTATCACATTAAAATCAAATTTATTGAAATTTTCTATTATAATTCTTACCATCCCAATCATTGCTTTGTGTACTGCTGATTTTTAATTTTTTTTTCGGTGGTGTATCAACATCTTTACTTGTAGTTGGAGTGGATGTGGTCATATTTCTTATATATTTCAAGTTCATTTTGAATGGTGTTATGACCGAGAGATCATTTTCATCAGATTCCTCTCCGTTTGAAAACTCCATTATATTTAGGTGTTTATACAGTGTTTCATTAATATAACTGCAACATTTAATACTTTAGTTCGGTTAAGTATTAGAAAAATCAAAACACTGTCGACTTGTCAAAAACTTAATTTAAAAGAGAAAAAAAAAACAAAAAATTATTATCATTTGTAACTGTAGAATAAATTTAAAACTGTAGTTAATTTAAAATAATAATGTATTAACACTGAATACACACCTGGTTTTTATTTACTATTCCATACTATTCAACTTTTCACATGGAGTACATGGAGTGACAATGTTTACGAATGTTTACCAATAATATTACACCACAGCCATAGCATACATAACATAAATCGCGCGCCATTTATTATGCTTATTTATCTATGTCGCGCGCAGCCTGTTGAGTGCGCTTGACATCTGCCACAATTCTAAACACTGTGGAAAAATACAAATAGTTTGTTCTATGACTGCATCTTGGCCAACTTTAAGGAAAACTCTTACATGCAAGGCTGACTGTTTTTTTTTAAATAGTACGCTTAACTAGCTGTAAGTGGAATTCTGTCTTAAGGCAATTAAGGCATCGTGCCTTAAGGCAAATTGCTGGAACTTCCCGTACCGCAATTCAAAATTCGAGTAATTAAAAATAATCAATAAAAGTTGATCAATGATTTGAAACATTTAATAGAATTTTGAACCATATTAAATTGTTCTATCTCAAATCATTTATTTTGAAATATTTTGGAAATTATGAAATTTTTTTCAAAGCAATCGTACTGCTTTAATAAAAGCGCCGCGTCGCCGTCTAACGCGTAAACATTGGTACGGAACCCATAGGAATGTAAACAAAATTTATACTTATTCTTAAAATCCATATAAAATATCTGGTAATTTGATGTGCATATGTCTAATGATCATTTTTGACCGTCAAATGGCATAAAAATTTGATCAGTTATTCATCTTGTTAATACAATAAAATGTTTTTTAAATTATTCAAATCGGACGCTCCGTTCTCTTAAAAACTGAGTTACCGTTTTTGGCACTTTTTGCCCCATATCTTCGGAACGGCTAGACCTGCCTTCGCCAAAAACTAATCAGCACGTCTCCATATCAATACGAATCGAATGTTTTTTGAATTATTCAAATCGCTTCATCCGTGTTCAATCGTCGACGAAAATTTGTATCTGCACATACGTACACACACGCACACACACACACACACATACATCCATTTTTTCTAAGGTATGCCAAAATGTTCAAAAGGTTTTGAAACGTAAAGATATATAAAAAATTTTATTTTCGATTTTTTTGCGATTACTATAACTTGCCCATACTCTTCTTTTATCTATGAACTTGCCCTACGGGAAGTTAAAAATACTAAAAAACAGATATTTCAATATTATCAAAAAATTCTATTAAATTAATTATAATAATTATATTATTATAATAATTATATTAAATAGGGCACCGTTCTTTATTACTATTAATACTATATAGGATTCAATTCTAATGATTTCTATGTCTGTTTCATTTCAATAACTTTTTTAACTTTAAATTAAATTGAATAAGAAAGATAAAAAGTGTGAACGAAGGTAGATTTATCATTCTGTTTAAAAATAATTCAGATAAATTTTTAGATTCAAAAGTTGCAATATATGGTATGAGTTGATATAAATTTATTTAGTGCAATTATAAAATATATTTTTTCATATCTTAAAATTGCATCAGCAGTGATCGAAAAAGGACAGATTGAGAAACAGTGGGTTCTGCAGTGAGCTGTGAGTTGACCACGTTGGCTACATTACGTGAAAACAGCTGTTCATTTTGAACAAACTTCAAAGCGTACCAAAAATTTGTTTTGGAATTGCAAAATTGTGCGCCAAAAAAATGAATTTGCCAGCTAATCTAAGCAATACAGAAAATTCAAATTCAACTTTTTCGAGAGAAAGTGATGGCAGTGCTAGGTACTTTTATTAGACTACAATTAAATGTTAATTAATAACTTATAATGAGTTTATCTATAGGTTATATAAATTAAAGAATATTTTACATTGATTACAGAAAACGCGTAAAATTAGAATCATATAGTGATCGCAAATGGAAAATTCAAGAAAGTGAAACAGAGGTACATATGATAAAATTAATTGAAAATGTATATTATGTATTCAGTTCTCAGACCACTGCATTCTTTACAGGTATTAGCTGAAATTGGATTAGGTGTACTTGAAGACAATTTGAATGATAGTAGTCAAAGTGATAGCAATTCTCGGTGTAAACAGCAAGTTATAACAAATTACTTTCCATCTCAAAATAGTAAAAGAAAAAACAGAGGGTCCTCACCCACTCAGAAACCTTTTGGTTTGATTGAAAATTCTGCAAGTCCAGCGGATAAAGAAAATGATCATGATTATTTAAATTGCACAAATCCACTTATGGTTGTGTCAAGCAATTTTAATTTGAATGAAGACATGCATACAAATAGAACAAAATATCAAAGTTCCTTAGAGAAAGTTAGGAGAAGTACCGTGTCTAAATGCAGTAAGAAAAATAATAAAATAAATAACCCAAAAAGTAATGAAAATATAAATATGCAAAAATCTGCAAGTGGTGTGGAGCGAAGTCCCCTAAGCAACTTATATAACAATAGACTTTCACAAACAAGGGAAATCCAAAATGTTCAAGATTTTTACATTTATAGGAAAAGAAATAACTCGCCTCAAATATTTGGTATGCTTTCAATTTATTTTTAACAATATTGTTTAACTTCATCAAATTACTAATATTAAATTTAAAGTCATTGATTTTGTAATCCAACCAATTTTTATGTCACTTTTGATAACATGGCAATATGTGTATTTTATTTTTATTTGTTATTGAATTTGTATCAGGCATCTTTCATCCATTTTTAAATTTGTAAGTATTAATTTTTGTTTTTCAGATATGATTAATCGATTATCTGATGAAATGGTATTAAGCATATTCAAATGGTTACCCAAGCAAACGTTATCACAATGTAGCCTTGTTTGCAAACGTTGGCATAGAATTTCACAAGATGAAAGTTTGTGGCTTCGCATAGATTTAGGTGGCAAAATTTTACCAAACAAATGTATTGAAAGAATTCTTTCTAGAGGTGCTATGATATTAAGAATGGCCCAAGCTGAAGTATGTTCATACTTTTATAAGTGTAGCAGTGTGCATAACAAATACTAATATTATTTTATTCTAGATTGGCAAATCATTATTTTGCGGTCCTAATGTGACTGTTGGAGCAGATTTTCAGAGCAAGCTACAATATTTAGATTTAAGTATGGCTGTTATTAGTATTGACTCACTGAATCAGCTTCTTGCTAGATGTAAGATTTTGAAGAAGCTCAGTCTTGAGCATGTTAGAGTTGATGATGAGACATGTAGGAACATTTCAGAAAATCACAATTTAGATGCTTTAAATCTTTGTATGTCGTCTGGCATTACATTGCAAGGAGTAAAGTATTTGATGGATGGTTGCAAGCAGTGAGTGAATTTTAAATATGATATGAAAATTATCCTTACAATTAGTCTAATAAGATTGATTGTTATAGATTGCAAGCTTTAAATATATCTTGGACTTGTATGAGTTATGAAGCTATTCAGTACTTGTGTGACCACCTACATCAAAATTTAACAAAATTAAATATTGCTGGCAATCGAAAAACTCTTACAGATAAAAGTAAGTAAATTACAAGTATTTTCATTATGAATTGTTTGAAATACTAAAATTATATATATATATATGTATATATATATATATATATATATGTATATATATATTAATAATTGGCCATACATTTTGGCTACAACAAAATCCATCTTATGACAATATCGCAATGCACTACACTATATAATATAAACATTAAAGTAAGTACAATAATAGTTAGTACAATTATACTAACATCATATCACAAAATAGTAAGTGTGCAATATTTTTGATTTTAAATCAATAAAATAAATTTGTTATTGATGTTAAGCCCGATTATTAAATGTTAAATGTAGATTTAAATACATTTGTGATATATATATAAATATATATATATATATATATATATATATATATATATACATATACATATATGTATAATCTATATACATGTATATGTATAATCTTGAATTTCATGTTGATATAACATATTAGTTTGGTTTAGTGTACAATAAAAATTGTGTGAATGCTTTTTTAAACATTTATTTTAAATCCATACATTTTGCCTAACACCTGAATTGAATTAAGTAAATAATTAGTAATAGTTCAAGAATAATAATAATAAATTAATCTAAAAACACTTACATTTTGATGTCCTTAATTAATGGAACACTATTACACCATGGTATTAAGATCATGAGCATAGTGCATCTCCAACAAAACACAAATAAACATGTATAATATTTATTAAGTTATTAAAACTGTGTATTGACTGTTCTGAGTTTGGGATAGAAATATCACGTTTTTCTCAAAAAAGAAAATATTAAAAATTAGTAAATTTATATATTTTCTTTATTGAAAAATTGCGACATTTCTATTTCAAATTCAGAATGGTCAACTGTGGTGCTATACTTTTTCATTAGTTCAAGATATAAAATTGTAAGTGTATTTAGATTAATTTATTATTATTATTACAGTATATTTCACTGAATAACGGTTAAAATGTTAGCCGAAATGTATGAATTTAAAATAAATTTTGAACAAAAGCATTCATACAAATAATATCCATAAATATATAAAATATATAATATATAAAAATCATAATCATATGTACAATATTTTAACAATTTTTTAGTGGTTGAGACTTTAGTTAGAAATTGCAGTTATTTAATAGATTTGGATTTATCTGATTGCACCATGCTCACAGAAGCAACAGTTCATACATTAGGAGAACTAATGACACTTGAACATCTTTCTCTGTCTAGATGTTATAATATTAAACCAACTGCATATATGTAAGTATTTATTTGTGTATAGTTGATTAAAAGTACTTATACTTTGTTAGTTTTACATATCTACATATCTTCACAAGGAAGTGTTAAATTTTTTTATGCAATCACAGTTCTATAATCTACTAATAAGGGATAACTGGTTAGTTCAAAATTAAAATAGCCTGCATGGTGAAAAAGGTAACAATACTCTAAAATATGATTCGGGCTCTGTTATTAAAACTACATAGATCAAAATATGGAATAATGTATCGGTACGCTGTACTCATATGTATCTCCTCAAAATGGTTAAGAGGCATGGTATTTTGTGTCAATTTTTATTGCAAAATCCTAGCAGGCATAAGTTAACTTCCCTCCCCTATTATATTTGCTTTTCACTTTTTATTACCAATTTGCATTTTGCGGTTTCCTATGAGGAACCATGTAAGTTTAGCATATCGCTCAGCTATCCCTTCTCAGGGAACATGGCAGTTTATATTCTCAATTACTTAGTTTGTTTTGAAGTTGTGAATAGAATAGATCAAGGATGAGTAAATGGACTTCAAGCGGGAAAGCCAAATATTTTTTTTCAACCCACCAAGCATTTCTAAAATAGGATTTTATTTTAAATATGCAGTGATTTATAAAATATACACTTTTATTTGATTTTAATTTTTTATTCTTTTATTAACTTCCCGTAGGGTAAGTTATTGTAATCGTCTAAAAATCGAATTCGAAAATTTTTACATTTCTTTGTGTTTTGAAGGTTTCTGAAAACTTTGGCATACCTGAGAAAAAATGGATGTGTTTGTGTGTGTGTATATATGTATGGATACAATTTTTCGTCCACGGTTTCGGGCGAATTTTTTCAAAAAAAAAAACACAAAAAATATAGTTTTCCGTAAATGATAAACGAATCTGTCACGACGCTAAGTAATTATATTGACACTTGAATCAACCCATTATGCCTGCCAATTCATATAAAACAAATTGCGTAACTTTATCCTTACTTGGTATTAATAGTTATGCACAATAATATCATATTTACAGAATGTTGCTTCGAGTGCTGATGAGCAAACGTTCTATTAGGTTCAGGGCGCAAAGTTTTAAATATGTTTTAAAATTGAGCTGTAAAATAGATTTGTTTTCAACCTTTATTCTAATCTCTTTGATATACATAATATTTTAACTTGTAATTTTAGAGAATCGTAATTAGTTATGCATTGCATTTTTTTATGCTATTTTTAATCGAACTGTTTTATAATTTTTTGTTTCAGTATTATACACAAATACACTTCATTAATGTATTTGGATATATTTGGGCTAATGAGCGAACAAGCAATAACTAAATTGTCAACTCAACTCCCACATATTGGAATCAATAAATTTTTACATAGCGCAATAGCCAGACCCACTGTTGGAACTCGAAGAACTTCTATATGGGGTCTACGTACTCGTGATTAGAATTACAATATTTTTTTATGTGAATAGTGAAAACAGACTTTTTCAAAAACTTGAAGATACAATATATTTATTATAATTTAAAAGAGAATAGTGCACATTGATTTATATGATATGCTTTAATATTGTTAATTATGGTAATGAATTGAGTAATATAAATTAAGTATGAGGTTTGAAATGGATTTTAAAGGTTTATTTTAGATGTCAATAATGTAAATTTTTATTTAATAGAAATATATGGAAATTATAATACTATGTTTTAAATCATTAAAAGCTATGGCTTTAAGGAAATTAATATTTATGGCAACTTTCAGACATAAAGTCTCAATAATATTATTGCAAAAATAAATTCGTAAATATTAGCTGCCATAAAATAATTTAGATTGCATTTAAACATGGGTAAACCTCAAGTGAAAAAGTGATCCATAAATGTCTGGTGTTCAAAGTATTTATACAACATTTTATATCCTTTAAAATATCGATTTCGAACAGGCATATGAGTCATCGTGACTCCAAAAAAAAATTTAAAAGTAATAACCGTTTTTTTGATAAGTTAATAACTAACATCAGTAAACAACCATAAGCCGTAGGCCCTAATACCCCAATAACGCGGGCAGGTATAGCCCAATAACCAATTGCAACAAACAACGGCACAACAAGCTGGACACTAGCATATTCTTGATAACAAAAGCTTTGAAAATTCTATCGATTTTCGGCCTGGCAGATTTTTAACGTGTGTTTACGGGATAACCACTGTGTCGTATCATGGTTCAAAAGTACCATACAAAGAATTCCTACCCATTTAGTTTGAAAATGGATGGAACTAGTCGAAAGTTGCATTTAGTCTTAAGGTAAGTTGCACGAACTTCCCGACTTAATCAATCAAAATTTAAATTTAGATATTTAGATAAAATTTTCAACTGTTTATTTCAAAAATAAAGTTATCGCTTTCAATTAAATCTATACAATTATAAACTAAGTTTATAAACATTTCGATTTCGAATAGAATTAGTAATTTAAATTATAGTAATTTATTTTTAATTATATATAATTATATCAATTAACTTTTGACACAAATTCTGACTATAATATTTTCTCAAATTTTGATGAATTTTTAACATCAAACTATTTGTCGTAGAGCCGTAACATTTTTGTATGTTTTATAAGACCATAGTATCCCAAAAAAGGTTCATAAAAATCGGCAAAACAAAACTTTCAACAGTTATTTTCAAGAAAACGGCCCAGTAGATTTTACCCAATTAAAAAAAATCATTATCATTTCCAACCAATATCTTTCGAACAGTTTTTGATTTTTTAAGATCCATTCAGAATTGAGAGCTTAGAGAAACGAGAACGAAATTTTTTCACTTTTTTGCTATTTACAAAGAAATGGCTCAGCCGATCGTCGCACAAAACTGAGAAAAGGTAATCCACATCGGTTGGTTTGTGAATTTTTAAAATCGGTTCAGGCATTTTTAATCAAAAGTCGATGAAAGTTCTAATTTTGACAAACGCCAAAAAACGAAACTAATTTTTGCAAACTTTGACGAATTTTCAAAATTAAACGACTTATCGTAGGGTCGTAATATTTTAGTATGATCTATAAGACTACTATCGTAGCTCCGACAATTGAGCGCGTTGCAAGAATATACTTCAAAAAGTTCAAACTACTATATTGGCTGCATATTCAATAAATTAGCGTATTTTGATTTTAGAATGAGATAGCGGAGGTAGCAAACCAATGTAAAAAATACTAGTACGATAATATGTAAACAAAATAAAATTATTTATTGTTTATTTCTTGTAAAAATTATACATCTAAAATAATTGTCAGATTACTTAAAAACTAATACATATAATGTGTATATCTATAAAGTGTATATATATATATATATATATATATATATATATATATATATGCAACAAGAAAAAACATACATTACGCTATGCATAGAAGCATTCGAACAATAAACAAATATTAAATATTCATTATCATCAGGGCAGATATCAAATAAAAAATTATAAAATAGGGTACTGATAAATTAAAAAAAAACATAATATTACAAATTATTTTTTAAAAGTATTGATGATTTATAAATATTAGTGCATAAGCTGTTCTAAATATTATTTATACATGAATATCACACGCGACACGCACCTACACCCACACATCTATAAATATATACATTTAAATATGAAGTTATTCTTAATTTTGATGTTAAGATATGTGTAAAAATTCTTCAAGGCAGGTACATCAAATAAAATAAAAGAATAAAATTTGAAAATAAATGAAATTTTATATTGAAACGTCTTTAAAATTATTTGATTTTTAATTGATATAACTGCCTTAGAGAACTCTACCAAGTACTCAATTTAAATGCGTATGTATATATATATATATATATATATATATATATATATATATTTATATATTTATATACATATAAATATATGTATCTACACTATATTGATAAGATTTTATTTTCTGAACTCTTTTCTGAAGCCTAATTTCTCGAAATGTGTTTATTTCATTTTTCATTCATAAATTTTTACTACGTTTTGCGTATATAAGATGTCATCTTCTTCGGAAACTATTAAAAACAAACTTTAAACATTATTTTATACACACTTCTTTAATTATTTAAAAATTTTTGCACAGACAGAAAAAATATTACAGATGACACACAACCATAAAGTACAATTCAAAAAATGAATGCGTGATCCTTTAAATTTTAAGTTTGTAAATGTACCATTTAATTTTTTGTAGTTAGTGTTTATTGAAAAAAAAATTGGTTCAAATACTTCAAAGGTAACAAATAAATTCTATTAATTTTAAAATATCAAATGCTTGAAAATGACATTCTATATCGCTGAATCGTAAAAATATTTATTATTATTATTGAATACAAAATGAAATATTTTTTTTGGAGAAAAATGGGGCTTTCCGTTAAGAAATATAAAATCATAAATAATAATATCTAAGAACCTAAACTCTATTTGTATATGCATATATATATATATATATATATGCATATACAAATATAATTAAAAATGTTTTTATTTAAATTATTATTTATAATTATTTCAATGTTTCGAGAATATAGGACGTCAGGACCTATCAAAAGACAAAATATGTATAACATATTTTTGTTTATTTTAACCCTTGTTGGGACAAAATATCCCATATTGCTGAAACGTAGAATAAATAATTATAAATGAAAAATTAAACTAACATTTGAAAATAAATGATTATAAAAAACCTTACTACTTACATATCTATAATCACAGAAAAAATTCATATATTTACAAAATTACATTTTAAATTTTAAAATAAATAACATATATGTATATATATATATATATATATATATATATATATATATATATATATATATATAGATATATATGTACATACATGTGTATATTTGAACTTTATATATGTTAATAATAATAATAATACTCATATAAATATTTTTATGTGTATATAAACCTGATTGTACAAGGCAAACCTAATTATTTTAAGAATTGCCCATGTATATTACACATATAATACTATATGAATATTATATGGACATCAAAAAAAAAAAAAAATGTATAGAAAATAGTTATTGATAAATGTCATAATTTGCATTACCATTGTTTATTAATAGGTATACATTTTATTTATATTTACCATCATAAATTTCATCTCTTGAATTATTGTGCTTCCATAGTTAAATTAATACTGGTTAAAAATTTTCAGTATTAGATTGATCCAACAGTCTCATCAATATTTTATTTTTGAAATTAGTAATCTACTGTGAATCAATTAAACCAACATTTGTTGTTACATTGATTAAAACTTTATGCTATCACCATCTGGCTTAATATCAGAGTCAGTTTTTAAAATGTTTCTGATATAAATTATCATCTTAGGGTCATTACCAAAAGCACAGTTATTAGAACCTAATTCTTCGAACTTCATTTAACTCGAAAATCACCATATTTTTTTCACTATCTCCTATATATCTTTAATAACAATATTTTGTTCATTTTGAATATAAATTTCATAAAATACAATTTATTAATTTTGAACACTTTTATCCACTAAATTTGTATCTTCTATTTCAGTGAGTATTTGATCTGCTTTATGTTCTATCAGAATAGGAACTTCATCATGCTGTTCAGATGTTTCTTTGAAATCTTTGTTTACAGTTACTTGATCGCTTAACACTTTCTCAATATGATATTTACTATGCAACATTGATTCATAAGTGCTTGAGTCCAAATTCAAAGAAGTATTGCTTTCTGAATAAATTTCTGTTGAATCTTCTCCATTGGAATGACAATTATGAAATATTGTGGATGCTATACAAGAATCCACTGATTGATTTCTAGATAGTTCTCCTTGTTTCTGCTGAGAATTTTCAATAAAAACTTCGATATTCTCTGCATTTGGTTTTAATATTTCCTTATCAATGTTTTGGTCAATTTTGTTATTATTACTGCACTCAATATTACTTGAATCATGGACAGTAATATTTTCTGATACAGAAACATTTTCTAGTCCCAAAGACATTGGCAAATTGGCTACAACTGCATCTCGATCATTTATATCACTATGAGTCAAATCATTTTCCTCATTTATTTGTTGATTATTCAAATGCGAGTCTGCAATTACATTGGATTGTATAATTTTCTTATCCGACTTATCTGAATTAGTAATAAGTTCATGTTCTTCTAGTAACAAATTCTCTAACAGCCTATTTTCATCGATTACTTTAGATTCATCACTGCCTATACAAGGTTCATCAGATATATTTTTATTTTCACTTTGCACATCAATAGATTCATTACTAATATTAGATCTATTGTTAGCAACCAAGAACGAATTTTGCACATTATCTTCGCTTTGTAAATTGGAATCTATATTTTTTATATATAATGAAGTGTCTTCACTATTTATAATTTCTGAATTTATATCTAAATCCTTTGCTAAATTATTTGAATAATCTACACGCTTTTGCAGATCAGTAGAAATGTTTAAAGTAAGTGAATTATTTGTATCTACATTATCAATACTCAATTGCAAATTATCATCATTAATTTCATTTTTTAAATCAGAATATGAATTTATTGCTAGTTCTTCTAAATCCTCTGAAAACTCTTCATTTATTTTGAGCTTTACTTCTTCAATATGTATATCATCTGGAATATTTAAATTATATGATATTTTGTTAACTTCTGCAATATTCTGAAAATCAGGCAAATTATCATCATTCTCCGCATTCATAACAATGGAGTTTGCTACTTTTTCATCATTTTGTAGATAAGTATCTTCTTTATCAGATTTCATTATATCGGTTATAGTTTCAGAAATTATATTTGTATTGCCACTTTTACCTGCAGACTCTTCAATTGACAAGGAAACATAAATTTCGTCGGATTCAGTAATAACATTGATTTTACCTGTTTCAGTATTCACATTAATTAATTCCGAATCGACCAAACCAGTTTGATTGTTCAAACTATCATCATATATTTCTCTCAATATATTATCAGATTCTGGTGAAATAAATTTATCACTCTCATCATTTTTAGAAGAGCCTTCAACATCGCAATTTTTTTCACTTAATGTTGCAGGCAAAATTTGATTAGTGAAATTTTCATCGAGAGTTTTGCGATCGTGCTTAATAGAATTTACAGCAGTATGTGTATTTAATAAATTATCTTCAACTACTAATTCAGAATTTTCTTTTAGTGTCTTTTTATCACACCATTGAAATTCTGAATCATCAGCTTCATTCTTGGATGAATTATCTACCATGTCGTTTCTATTTATATTATGTTCTGAATTATTGGCATTGCTACTTTCTGAATTTCTTGTTACACCAATTTCGATATCTATCTCTGAATCTGTATCCCTACTTTCATTAAGCATTAGTAAATCATTTTCCGTGCTAAATTTATTATCAGATAAATTTTCTGCGTGCTCAGTGTTTGTAATAAATTCAGAGTTATCAACATCATCAAAAATTCTTTCAGATTTATTGCATTCATCTATTGAATTTAACTCAATAGTTGCCATTTGTAATGTTTTAGTGCTTACATCCTTTGGTAAATCAGAATCCACAATCATCACATTTTCATTATATATCTGAATGTCTTGTAAATTATCTTTATTTTCAATCAAATTTTCTGTTAAATCTTTTTTTTCCATATCAGTATTTGCATGGTCAACAACATTATTATCATTCATATTACCAGTCAAAGTCAAATCACTTCTACCTGAATCATTTAACAAATTTGTGTCTATATCCATAGCACTTTGCAAATCACTTTCCTCCATTTCGCAACTTGTGTTACATATGCTATCGTTTTGAATGTCAATACTAGAATTGTTGCTTATATGAGGGCTGGAAATGGTCATAGTTTCATTAGTTTCTTGAACTTGAATTTGTTTGTTCACTGCAATTACAGGAGTTTCTGCTAAATTGTTAGTTTCCATACTAGAATTGTTGCTTATATGAGGGCTGGAAATGGTCAAAGTTTCATTAGTTTCTTGAACTTGAATTTGTTTGCTCACTGCAATTACAGGAGTTTCTGCTAAATTGTTAGTTTCCATACTAGAATTGTTGCTTATATGAGGGCTGGAAATGGTCAAAGTTTCATTAGTTTCTTGAACTTGAATTTGTTTGCTCACTGCAATTACAGGAGTTTCTGCTAAATTGTTAGTTTCCATACTAGAATTGTTGCTTATATGAGGGCTGGAAATGGTCAAAGTTTCATTAGTTTCTTGAACTTGAATTTGTTTGCTCACTGCAATTACAGGAGTTTCTGCTAAATTGTTAGTGGACAAGTTAGAAGAAGTATCATGTTCCCTTAATTCATCATTCTCAAAATTATTTAAACTTGGCTCATTTATGCCCAATTCTTGAAATGTATTTATTGCAGATTGATCATGAATCTTTTCATTATTATCATCAAATAACTCTTTTGTTACAAAATTGCTGTTCACCATAAAATTACAAGATTTCAAATCTGAATCCTCCCTATATTCAATTGGTTCCTTCAGAGTTTCATTCTGTGGTAAATCCTTTGTTATGGAACTATTAAGAGCCGAGGTTATATGCAGTACATCAAAAGAGTTATTATCATTCTTATTTGCACCATCACTAGCCATCACACTTGAATCATTTATAACTTTGTTGGAGATGTTTTCATTTATCAAATTATTATTAGATAGGACATCAGATTTTGATTTTATAGCTTCTGTTGTAGTACCGATTAACAAATTTGAATCATTAGGAATACATCTACTCATCATAGTATTTTCGTCAATCTCATCTGGGCGATCTGATGTAATATCTTTGTCATTTTTATAATTTAATGAATTGCTACTGCTTCCACAAGTGTCTTTACCCATTACTGTGGTTATAGTATCAATACTAAATTGAGAATTATCAATACTATTACTAGTTTTTCTTACATCAAACTCCCTATCTATATTCAAACATGCATCATTAATAAAAATGTTATTTGAATGTGTATCATCGATATCAATTTTTATGTTTTCCAAAGTGTTTGATATTTCTGAATCCATATTTGCATTTGTTTTCACAATATTTTCATCAATCTCATCAGAGTTATCAACCTCAGTTTTAATTTGACATATTTTATCATTAATTTGCATACTGCAAACATTATTAATTTCTATTGTTTTGTTAGAAGCGTTATAATCTTGTTGATTGTGAGACTTTGTAATTGCATCACAGATTGCAGAAGATGATGATGCACAACTACTATTACAGGCATTGAATAAATCTAAATATTCTGCTTCCTTCTCAAAATCATTTTCAAGTTTTATATTTGACGGATCTCGATTGAAATGCTCAGTTGAATCAAAAGCATTACCTGGCTCAACTTCTATTTCAGTTTCTATAGGTTCAGATTTTATGTAAACTGGTATATTCTGACATTTATCCATATCAGGAATTCTATCATGAGAAACACTCTGATTTAAAGTATCTGCACTATGCTGATTTTCACTACAAACCTCTAATTTGACTTGAATGTATGGTCTGTTCAAAGTGGAACTTGAAAGATTTCTATCCACATTTTCAGCATTTTCAGTATTTTGCAAAATATCATTTGGCTCAGACTTTACACGTACTATGGATGGGTTTAGTGATACTGTAGATGTTATGACAGGTAAAATATTATTTTTTGGCTGGGATGTTTGTAAATACTGATCAGATTCATTGTTTTCAAAAATACTTGCTGAATTTTCCGGAATTTCTGCTGTATCTGGTGCTTCTGTTTTAACAGTAACTGCAGTTTCTGAATAATTATCATTAGACTTATTAAATGCTTCATATGATAAAGAATTTGTAGAAATTTCACACATATAATTTGATGTAGGAGCGCTATTAAGTTGTTTTCGTGAACTCATTCTGGTGACAGAGGGAGTATTTGATGCAAAGCACTGAATATCAGAATTTAAGCGATCTTCAACAATTGTAGAATTCAGTGTGCCATGCTCTTTCTTAATTTTTAATTTTAATGAAGGTTTAAAATAATACCGCTTGTTACTTAATTCATAACTATCAGATTTAGCAGCTATTTGCTCACTAAACATAGAAGGAGCATCAACACCTTTTGCAGTTGTATTTGAATCTGTGTAATCATCTGAATAATTCACATGCATATCTGATTCTTTCAAAAATCTCACAGATCGCTTCATAATTTTTCTTGGCACATGATCTCCAGAATCATCAAATATATTTCGTGAGTATTGACAATATTTTTCATGTGACTTTACGAGCCTTGACTTCAAAAATGTTTTTCCACAAAATTGGCAGCTTGAGTCAGAAAAACAATCATGTTTTGATAATGCATGTTGTGAATCAAAAGTTTTATTACATCTATGGCAATTATACTCTTCTATTTCTGTTTGCACCAGACACTGATCCCTTTCGTAATGACTGTAAAATTAAAGCAAATATTAATATAAAGTATTATTTTTTCAAAATGACTATTTTAACCAAATGTTAAAAACATTTCTTATGCTGCTACGCTATTAACACACAAACAAAGCTGCATAATCTCTCTTTTTAACTTCCCGTAGGTTAAGTAAAATGAACTTTTTTGTATATCTTTACGTTTCAACGGTTTCTGAACATGTTGGCATACCTTAGAAGCAATGGATATATGAGGGCGCGCGCGTGTGTAGTATGTAGGTATGTAGGAATTCAATTTTCGTCGACGGAAGCACCGTTCAACCGATTTAAATGATTCAAAAAACAATCGATTTCTATTGACGGGGAAATGTACTGATTAATTTCCAGCAAAAACAGGCCATAAATTTTTTCAAGATTTATATTTTTTTAAGCTTTTGCAAACTCTAAATTACAATACGGGAAGCTCCAGCAATTCGCCTTAAAGCACGGTGCCATCCACACTAGTTGATTGTATTTTAACACACAATGAGAACTAATGAATACCTGCCTTGTTTCTAGTTTTGGATTCAGTTTTAATTACAAACGCAGCACAAAGATCATTTCTTCAATATAATATTTTTAAATCATCTAAGTTTTTACTCAATAATACAAATTTTATATAATTTATGAATTAAATATTGTTATACCAAGAGTTTTTATTATATTCACTGGTAAGTAATTATTGATTCCTATATCTTGTTTAAACCTTTTTACTTTCATTCTCATATTTATTCATTTAAGCAATTGCCTTGAATCTTAAGTTGCACGAACTTCTCGATACATGCGAACAATCAACTAAATCAATAAAAATTGAGATTTAGCTTTAGAATTTTAGATAAAACGTTCAAGTGTCTATTCCGAAAATATTGTTTTCGGTTTCACCAAAAACTAATATATACAATTTTAAATAGTTATCTTTTAAACAAGCTTATAATAACTGCAATTATATTAATTGTAGTATATAAACACATACTTCTGTGATCTAGAAGCGCGGACCATTCACTAAACATTTATTTATGAATTGTTATAATTAATCTGTATTTCTTATGACTATAATATTTTATGGAGTTCGTTTAGATTATGAACAATAAGGTTCTCATTTCAATAAGGCATGGTTCTCATAGAAAAAAAAAACCCGGGTCGTCGCACTGCCGTCTGCGATTCGCCTATGAAAAGTCCTGAAAATTATCAGGTTTTGAAGCGAATCGTCACTAAGAATGTCAAATGGAATGTTAAGAATAAAAATACACGCAATTGCCCAAAAAACAGAAAAATAAGCTCCTGCTCAAAACAGGTGCGAAGATGAAATTTATCAGAAAAATTGATGCAGTATGTTTGTTTGGTAAGATTTTAAAGAAGTTGCTTGTATTTCATCTTTTCCAAGATAGCGTAACGGTTAATTCGAATGCCTTATATCATCAGCTGGATAAACTAAATGATGTACTTGAATAGAAAAGGTCAGAATTACCCACAAACAAGCTATAGTACTGCATCAAAACGACGTAAGACCTCACATAAGTTTGGTCAATCGCCAATAGCTTTTGTTGCTTGAATGGGGATCCAATGCAACATTCATCGTATTTTCCTGACCTGCCATCATTGGACCATCATTTGTTCCGGCCACTAAAAATATTTTAGTCGGTAAAAACTTTACCTCATATCAGCATGTCAAAAAGCACTTAGATCAGTTTTTTGCCAATAACGACCAAACAAAAAATGATCTCAGAATTATGCTAATACCAGAAATATTACAAAAGATGTTCGATTAAAACAGCTTATACATAATTTATTAAAGTGTTTGTTTATTGTACAAAAATTTCGTGCCAAAATGTCTGTAAAAAACGAAGTTAATTTCCGAATAACCCAATAAATACAATAACTTTCATCAATTGCATTTTATAGACAAAATAAATTGGACGATGACGTTTATATAAGTTTATATGAAAGTAAATAAATAAAACTTAATGAAGCAAAGTTAGAATGGAGTTAGAAATAATTTTGTTTAGAAAAGTTAAAATTATTTATTTGAAGTATATAAAAATGAATTTTTCCTCAAAAACAATTATTTCGTTAATACAAGCGGAAGATTTTCTGAATCATTCATATCTATCTCTAAAAATCTCCGAAACAACTGGGCCTGCCTTTGCCAAAATCTAATCACTACCTCTCCTCATCATTACGACTTGAATGTTCTTTGAATCATTCAAATCGGTTGGTCTGTTCTCTCAAAAATTTATTTACTATTTTATCTGCACTCTATGCTCCGTATCTCCGAAACGGCTGGATCTGCCCCATCAGTAGGAATGGAATGTTGTTTTGAATATTTCAAATCGGTTGATTCATGCGCCCGAAATCGTGGACGAAAAATTGTGGACTCACAAAACAAACACATACACTATTTTCTAAGGTATGCCAGAATGTTCAGAAACCTCTGAAATGTGAAGATATGCAAATATTTTTATTTTCGATTTTTGGACCATTACTATAACTTACCCTACGGGTGGTTAATTAACTTTTAATTAAGAAAAAAATTAACAAGTTTTTGGCTCGTTTTCAGTTTTTATATATTTTCTTTTTTTCCACTGAATGACGGTCTAGATAAAGACTGAAACGTATGAACTAATAAAGTTGATGTCCTAATTGCTATAGTTTTTTTTTCTTGGTGCTATCTTGATGCTCGACTTGACGTTTTAATATACATATACGCATACACACACACACACACACACATATATATATATATATATAAAGCGAGAGGTTTTTCTTCAGATGGTGAAATAATATAATAAATTGTTTCTTGGGCATCCATCCAGTAATTAAAAAACAGTTTTAATGAAAAATGTTTTTATTTATAGAGAACATACGTTTCGGGTCTGGATTTGACCCATCTTCAGTGCTACAATTAAATAATTCAGGGTTACAAATTAAAACAATATAAAAAAATACATAATTAACAGACAGAAATAAGTAAAACAATGTATATGAAAAGTATATATGAAAAACAACCATAAAATAAACAATGTAAAGAAACTCACCATACAAATAAACTTTGAAAAACAACACAAAAACACAAAATTGCACGAAAAATAAATAAAAGTGAAATAAAAAATTGATGAAACGTCGAGTTATGAAAAATTTTAAAAAAAAATTGTAAAATTAAAATGAATGATATATTTTATTATAAAAAAGCTTATTCCAAACGAACATGTTGTTGGTTTGGAAGTTGTATTACGAGTGTGTACGAGAGTAAAATGTGTGCGAACGTGTTTGCGGAAAATACTGGAAACTGTATCGTCATTGGTGAGAGAACGGGATAGAGAGAATTTTGGTGGTTCCATATTACGAAGATTTTCTCAACGATCATGCGCAGTAGGAACATAGTAAAAAATTTTTACATGTGCAAGACATCCATAATCAAATCCCAAAAATATGTGAATGAAGAGAAAATTATTAAGAAAAAGTATGGATATTAACAGAAAAACGATAATAGTTTGGAAACGATAAAAGTTACATAAAAAATTATAACATAACATATATATGTATATATAAACGCAAAATAATAAATGTAATATATGTATACACATACACATACACATATATGCATACACAAAAGAATATGTAGAATACATAAAAGAAATGTTAGGATGTATTACGCATATTGAAAAAATTATTTGAAGCATCGCGGTAAATATTGCAAAGAGAAGCCGAATCAAATCGTTTGTTAATAGAAGGTAATATTTGTATGAAAATACTCTCAGCGAACTTCCTGCGTAAAATGTTAGATTCACGATGAATAACTCTTGGATTGGTGAAATTAAAAGAATGTTTAAATTTGGAGACATGCTCGGTGATCATGGTTTTATTTTGTTTTCTGTTCAAACTATTAAGTTCGTGTTGGCGCATTCTTTTTGAGAGAAATTGTGAGGTTTCTCCAACATAACAGCTTGAACAATCATTACAATCAATGACATATACGATGTTTGAAGTGCGGGAAATAGGGGTAGGAGTTTTTAAATTAGTGTATAAGTCTGAGAGAGTGTGTCCAGTCGAACATACTAGCTTCAGACCAACGGATGAAAAAAGTTTTTTCCATGAGTGGAAAAGGCAGTCAATGTACGGTAATGAGATGAAGGAATTGAGAGATAGTGAATTTTCAGGAGGCTTCACAAGGTTTTGTGAAATGATACTATTTTGTTGTGATTGGGAGGTAAATAAGGAAGCTGTACGGAATTTATTACGAAGAAAGGGTAATCTATTATTTATTACTGAGCGTAAAAGTTGTAGTGGATAGGAATTATTTTGAAGGGTAGAATATATCAAATTAATATTTTTTTCCCAATGTGATGGATGAGAAAGAAGGATGGCATGATCTAGTAAGTTGATGATGGATGCAATCTTGGTAGATTTGGGGTGATAGGAATGGTAGTTTAAATAGCGTCCAGACCAAGTGGATTTTTGATACCAACATGTAGTGATAGAGTTGTTATTTATGAAAAGAGTAATATCTAAAAAATTAATGGAGTTGTTAAATTGAGTCTCTAAGGTAAAACTAAGGTGTGAGTCAAAATTATTAAAAGAATTTAGGAAATTGGTTATGTTATAAGTAGGAATGCAAGTTAAAATGTCGTCAACGTAACGTTTGTAAAAAAGAGGTACATATGACAAGGTATTAAGAGTAGAGTTCTCTAGGAACTGCATACAAAGTTCAGCAAGAGGGGCACTCAAACTGGAACCCATTGGGGTGCCAAATTTTTGTTTAAAAAAGGAGTCGTTGAACGAAAAATAAGTATTGGAAATAATGAATTTAATACATTTCAGGAACCAAGAAAAATTGAAATCTGTGTGTTTGCTGATATCAGCCCATTTATGGTCTATGGCAGAGAGGATAAGGTCAGGTGAAATGTTAGTGAAGAGGGAAACAACATCTAAACTTATAAAGGAAAAATCAGATGGTACATTGAGGGAGTTAAGTTCGGGAATGAGTTCAAAAGAATTTTTGACAAAATGGGGAGAATTATGAGTGATATTGGACAAAATTGAACTAATAAATTTGGATAATTTGCAAAGAGGGGAATTTAAGTCAGCAACTATTGGTCGAAGGGGAAAGCCATCTTTGTGGATTTTGGGAAGACAATAAAGTTTTGGGGAAATGGGATTGTAAGTTTTTAATTGTAGAGAGAGAGGTTTGGGAATTTGTTTGTTTTCTATGAGTGAATCAATGAATTTCAAAGTATTCCGATTTATAAGGTCGGTGGGATCTGAATTTATAGGCTCGTAAGTGTTTATATCAGCTAGGAGGGACATGGATTTGGAAATATAGTCATCTTTGTTCATGATAACCGTCATGTTACCCTTATCTGCCCTGGTAACAACAATTTCTGGGTGTTGTTTGATAAAGGATTTGCAAAGGTGGATATCTTTGAGTAATTCTTTATGTTGATGAAAGTTAGAAATGTCAAATTTGAAAAATGAATTAAGTTGGTTGCAAAAAATAGATTTAATGCGGTTTTTTTCATTGATATCTTTTAAATTACGTAAACTATATTCTAAAGAGCTAAGTGTTTTGACAAAATTAAACGATTTTTTCTGTTGTGGAATGGAAAATTTGGGACCTAATGCTAAAATATTCAAAACATTGGATGGGATGTCTAAATCTGAAATGTTTTTAACCCATTTATTGATGATATCAGGGTTTATATTTAATTTGGATTCGTTAGACTTTTTCGAATAAAGGGTATTGAATTTTTTAATGAAGGATTTTTTTGACATATTAAAAGAATTATTGAATCTAGAGTTTTCGAAATCTAAAAAATTGTTAATGTCAATGTGATTATTAATAGTGGAAAATAAGGATTGGATGTTGTAATTTAGAGATTTATTTATGTTATCAATAGAGGTAATGCAATGTTTGATTTCTAGATTCAGCAACATAAAGGAGAAAGAAAGCTTTTTATTTTTAAAATAATTGGAATTTAGATGATCAAAGTTTGTTAATTTGAAATCAAAGGATTTTGGTAGGAGTTTTTCTTTACGACAACGAAGTAAAAAAGTTCTTTTGTTGGTGACGATAGCCAGTTTTGAGAAAAGGTTTGAAATAGTTTTAAATAAAATGAGTTTGGTAGGTCCATAGCAATGGAAAATGTACTCGAAAAAAGATGGAAAAGAGTAAGGAATGCATTGTGTAAAACTATTATGAAAATAATTGTTGTAACGGTAAATTGACGAATTATTAAAATTATTATAATTCTGTGTGTAAGTTGGATATTGATAAGAGGAACGATTATTATGTCTTACCTTATTTGTATGGAGAGCACTATTCACATATATATTATTGAAATTATGGTTATTTTGAAAATTCATGTTGTTAAAATTAAAAAACACTTGTAAAAGTTCTTGAAAATGATCAAAATCTTGGATTTGTAACTTCAGTGTAGTATTGGTTATGAGCGTCCTAACAAGGAAGTCTTGATATGTAGGTTTCGTAAGAGTCTTAAAACTTGTAGAATATTTGAAAAACAGTGTCTTGAGAATGAACAAAAAAAATCTTGAATATTTTATGTTGAAATTGTCCAATTTTTCAGCCCTTGGATTATATAA